TGCGACGAGACTTCGACGGAGGAACGTCCGTGGACAATCCGTTTCTTCACTTCTTGGCCCATTTCGGACGCCTTCCGCTTGCCAAGGTGCGTGTCACACGATCGTCCGTGCCTGTGATTAGCTGACAGGCTAATTAAAGCCATATTGCATTACAGCTACCTCTGTTGCCTACACTGCATCTGCGCGATGGATCATATCACCATGATTCCCACCAAGACACCAATCCGGTCGAGCGGCAAGGCGGGGTATACTCCGAGGAGGGCGTGACCGGAAATTAAACCTGAGTTAAGCCAAGAACAAGTATCGAATTGTCTACACACCGGGTTCCTGCCGTCATGAGGAGGGTGACTTAAATAGGACCTGGGGTGCACCCACTTCTCTCCGTCGATCAACCGAGCTTGAGCCATTAACCACCATCTACAGCGCCATGGCCCGATCAAGCCTGGCCTTGCTATGTGCAGCCCTTCTCGGCAAGTTCGCAGACGCCACGGCGTCGCAGGCCTACACGTGGAAGAATGTCGTCACAGGTGGTCTGTTCTCTCTGGTCACCTACTCTGGAATGAATATTGCTGACTGCGACGCAAACAGGCGGAGGAGGTTTCACTCCTGGCATCGTCTTCAATCCCTCCGCCAAAGGGGTGGCGTACGCGCGCACGGATATCGGAGGCGCGTACCGTCTGAACTCGGACGACACGTGGACCCCGTTGATGGATTGGGTGGGGAATGATACCTGGTGGGCTGCCCTGCTTTCCTGGCAACGGTATGGATAGATTGGCTAACGAGCTCAGGCATGACTGGGGCATCGATGCCCTTGCCACGGATCCCGTCGACACTGACCGTCTGTACGTGGCGGTGGGCATGTATACCAACGAATGGGACCCCATTGTGGGATCGATCTTGCGCTCGACGGACCAGGGTGATACCTGGACTGAGACGAAGCTGCCTTTCAAGGTTGGCGGGAATATGCCTGGTCGCGGCATGGGTGAGGTAGGCTGCGTTCCTTTCCTGAAGTTGAGTGGAAGGCTGATGCAATGCAGAGATTGGCGGTCGACCCGAACAAGAATAGCATTCTCTACTTTGGAGCGCGGAGTGGGCACGGCTTGTGGAAGAGTACGGACTATGGAGCGACCTGGTCGAATGTCACTTCCTTTACCTGGACTGGTATGATTCTTTGGTGCTGGTGAGTAGGGCTTGGCTAAGTGTGTGCAGGAACGTATTTCCAGGATTCGAGCTCGACCTATACTTCGGACCCCGTGGGTATCGCTTGGGTGACTTTTGATTCGACCTCCGGTAGCTCGGGGTCTGCGACACCGAGGATCTTTGTCGGTGGGTAACTCATCACAAAAGAGAAATCATCCTCTAACGTGTCGATAGGCGTTGCGGATGCTGGCAAGTCGGTTTTCAAGTCGGAGGATGCGGGTGCTACTTGTGAGTTTGATTCAGCCCGCAACTGAAAGCAGCGCTGACTCTCCAGGGGCGTGGGTGTCCGGAGAGCCTCAGTACGGCTTCCTCCCGCACAAGGGGGTCTTGTCCCCTGAGGAGAAGACGCTGTACATCTCCTACGCCAATGGAGCTGGTCCTTACGATGGCACAAACGGCACGGTCCACAAGTACAACATCACCAGCGGAGTGTGGACGGATATTAGTCCCACCTCCCTTGCGAGTACCTACTACGGTTACGGTGGTCTGTCGGTTGACCTCCAAGTTCCTGGCACCTTGATGGTGGCGGCACTCAACTGCTGGTGGCCGGATGAGCTCATCTGGCGTAGCACTGATTCTGGTGCGACCTGGTCCCCTATTTGGGAGTGGAACGGTTATCCGAGCATCAATTACTACTACAGCTATGATATCAGCAACGCCCCCTGGATCCAGGACACGACTTCAACCGACCAGTTCCCCGTTCGCGTCGGATGGATGGTCGAGGCCCTTGCTATTGATCCGTTCGACTCCAACCACTGGCTCTATGGTACGGGTCTGACAGTATATGGCGGACACGACCTGACAAATTGGGACTCGAAGCACAATGTGACGGTCAAATCCCTGGCGGTCGGTATTGAGGAGATGGCAGTGCTTGGACTGATCACGCCGCCCGGAGGACCGGCGCTGCTGTCCGCTGTTGGCGACGACGGTGGGTTCTACCACTCGAATCTGGACGCAGCGCCAAACCAAGCGTTCCACACGCCGACCTACGGCACGACCAACGGAATCGACTACGCCGGCAACAAGCCCTCCAACATCGTCCGGTCCGGAGCTAGCGATGATTACCCGACTCTCGCCCTGTCGTCGAACTTCGGCTCGACATGGTACGCAGACTACGCCGCCTCCACCAGCACCGGCACCGGAGCGGTGGCTCTGTCCGCAGACGGTGACACGGTGCTTCTCATGTCCAGCACCTCGGGCGCGTTGGTGTCGAAGTCGCAGGGCACCTTGACCGCGGTCTCATCTCTCCCCTCCGGGGCAGTCATTGCCTCGGACAAGTCCAACAACACGGTCTTCTATGGTGGATCAGCAGGCGCGATCTACGTGTCAAAGAACACGGCGACCTCCTTCACCAAGACTGTGACCCTGGGGTCCAGCACAACCGTCAACGCCATCCGCGCGCACCCCTCCGTCGCCGGAGATGTCTGGGCGTCGACCGACAAGGGCCTCTGGCATTCCACGGATTACGGTAGCACGTTCACGCAAATTGGCAGCGGCGTCACGGCGGGCTGGAGCTTTGGGTTCGGCAAGGCGTCCTCCACGGGCAGCTACGTCGTGATCTATGGGTTCTTCACAATCGACGGTGCCGCGGGGCTGTTCAAGAGCGAGGACGCGGGCACCAACTGGCAGCTGATCTCGGATGCGTCGCACGGGTTCGGCTCTGCGTCCGCCAACGTGGTGAACGGCGATCTGCAGACCTACGGCCGCGTGTTCGTGGGCACCAACGGCCGGGGCATTTTCTACGGCAATCCCAGCGGGAGCTTGCCGTCCGCCACGGCCACGGCGACGGCGACCACCTCCAAGACCTCGACGACGGTGTCGACGACGCTGAAGACCACCACCAGCGCCTCGACCACTTCTTCCAGCACGACCGTGAAGACCACGACTAGCTCTTCCAGCACGACTTCGAAGGCCAGCTCAACCACCACAACGACAACCAAGACTACCAGCACCACAACAACCACGTCGAGCGGCAGCACCGCGACGGCCTCGGCGTACGCGCAGTGCGGCGGCAGCGGCTGGACGGGAGCGACCGTCTGCGTAAGCGGGTACAAGTGCACCTACTCGAATGACTTTTATTCGCAGTGTAAGTTTGTTGCGTCAAGCTAGGGGATGATTGCTAACTGAGGGTGCAGGTGTTCCATCATGATGACGGGGAAGGAAACGTGATGGAGGAGATTCGTGCCTTGATTTATTTGGTCGGTGACTGACGTTACAACGTGTTATCTCTGCACTTGTTTCAGTGAATGTGTCGTTTCATAATATGATCTTGTAATTGAGTGCAATGTGGTATCTCGGACTTAGGGAGTGGTCGGTGGTCGGTGGTCGGCGGAGACGGCGTAAGCAGAACCGAGGCCGCGGCTCCGGGGCCGGAATAAGTATGTTCCAAGCGATGTGGCGTCGCGGGTCGTACTCGTAACTATGCTGTGCGGTCGGTAGTTGGATACTGTGTGCATGGTTGAGTATAATCTTGCTGTTGAAGGCCGCTCGCATCATTGAAGTTGATATTCCTCACCGGACCGGATCTACTGGCAGAATGGCATAATAGTCTCATGGTTCCGTGCTCGTCTGCATGTTGTAGTTTTTTGGTTGATGCATAACCTGACCTTCCGACAACTTGAACTATCGTGTGGGCATTTCCCGCCATTTGCCACTGCATTGCCATTACACCAGTCTCGAGGGAGAATATCTTCAAGCGCAAGGTCATACATCCCGCAAGGGTCCGTCACGTCCGAAAAGCGTCAAAACCGACCAAAGATATCTACTGTATGGCTACCAGCACGATATGCCATATAGCTTATAGAAGTAGAGGCATGAGCTAGAGCTCTACGATGTACAAGACACACTCTGCACCCACAATCTCACGCATAGATACTCATATACACTCATCCTCCACAAAATCGGTCCGGCATCCGAATCTATCCATGAGCAGAGCATAAGAAGACAAAAGCATACGACCACCTACACCTACCAAAAAGGCAACGCAGTTGGAAGCCTGACCGCACTGCCGAATCCCGCAACGCAGTACGCGATTCGATTTCCCAATTTTTGGGAGGTCGTGATAGGCAAAACCCGGAACCTGGGATTGTCTGATGTCTGATCGGGGGGGGGGGGGGGGGGTGAATGTCCAGGGGTTTTTGGGACGTACAGTACGGAAGACCATACTCCCAAAGACCGTTAGCCAGGAACACCCGGTGACTACTCTGTAACTTACCTGATGCTGCTAGGTGGGATTTTGTGCAGGGCAGGGGGCAGGCATGCACTGGCGGAAAAACAGTGGCCATGTTTGCCAAGGCGGGTTTAACGGGGTGTACGGGTGGGGTTCCACTATGGCGATGGGCGATGGCGATGGGCGAAAACTCTACTCTACTGCGCACTGCTTGCTGTTGCCGTTGCCGCTGTTTCCGTGCCGCTGTCATTGTTTTGACTTTGTACGGTACTGTACTAGACTGTTCCGGAGGGTAGGAAGAGTGAATGGTCGTAGAGAGTAACTAGGACTGAAGATGTGTAGTTGTTTTCGTTCTCATAAAGATGAAGGTATAGCAGCAGGGGGCAGGTGTGTTTGTACTGTACTTTGTACACTCCACAAATCCGCCTCGAAAAATTGCCAGGAATAGATCCAGACCCCGTATAAGCAGTGAAGCACACCAAACAACGTGGCCCAGTCGGCGGGTAAGCAACCACCCGAGCATCGGCCAGACTTTATCTTCCATTGCTCTGGGTCTGATTGGCCTGCAAACCCCGGACAGCACCCAGTGACCAATTCATATTCCAGAAAGCTTCTCTATCTCGGCAAAAGTCTAACTTGCAGACACCCCACCCCACAGGAATCCGGGGTCTGATGGGCCGGTTAGCCGAGCCGAAGGATCCCGTTGTCCACACTTTCCACCCTTCCAGTGCAGCTCCGTTTCATCCCGATACGCTTGATCCTGCAGGACACCGAGATCGGGTTGGGAGCCTGGAAGGTGATGATGATAGCATTACGGATGCGAGGGGGGGGCATCGCCATCTAAGCGAGTTTACCCGTCACTGCCCCTTAAGCTTAAGCTTTGCCTTTCCTCTCCCCAGCGGACCTTATCTCTTCTATCTCTGACCTTTGACACATCCTCCCCCTTGTATCTCTGCTATCTCTGCTATCTCTGCCGTTCGTGTGTCTGCCTCACATGGCGGTGCCCTATCTCCCCGAGTACGAGCAAGAGGAGACGGTGATGCCCCCCGCGACGCCGCACCATCTGCGCGAGCATGGTCTGGAACCGGCCAACTCGCCCTTCGCGGGCCGCATCGGCGGCAACCAGGACTTCGTGCTGGACCGCAGCGACCCCAAGAACCTGGCGGAGCTGGACCGGGTGCCCGACGCGGCGCCGTGCATGAACGCGCAGGAGATCTTCGATCTGCGGGGGTTCCTGTCGCCGGATCTGTGGAAGTTCGCCATGCTGGAGTGTGTTGGTGAGTTCGCCTCCCCGCCGTCATGTCATAGGGCAAAGAACGGGGGATCGCCCGTTGCCATGCCCGTGCCCGTGGCCCTGACACCACCATACTATACCGGAAACTCAAATCAGCCCTAAAGCCGCGAGAAGCTAATGCCCCGAAAAAGCCAGCATGCTCAACACCTTCATCTCCGCCTGGGTCACCACGCACCCGTACGCGCCCATGACCGCCTCGACGGCGGCCTCCGGCGTCTACGGGACGGTCACCTTCTTCTCCCCGACCTTCGGCGGCCTGACCAACCTCCTTCTCACGCCGCTGCTCATCTACACCTTCTCCCCCAGCTCGGGCGGCCACATCAACCCCCTCATCACGCTCGCCACCTTCTTCGCCCGCATCATCTCCTTCCCCCGCGCCGTGCTCTACATCCTCGGCCAGACGCTGGGCGGCGCCCTCGCCGGCTTCGCGCTGCACGCCGCCTTCGGCGACCGCAACATCACGGTCGGCGGGTGCTACATCGACACGACCCAGGTGCCGGTCACCAGCGGGCTGGTGATCGAGTTCTTCGCGTGTCTGATCATCGTGTGGCTGTGTTTCGGGGTGGCGTTGGATCCGCGCCAGGCCAAGGTGTTTGGGCCCGCGGTCGGGCCGTGGTTGGTGGGTGTGGTGGTCGGTGTGATTACGTGGGGGACTTCGTTTACCCGGGTGGGGTATATTGGGGCCAGTATGTATCCTTATCTTAGGGGTTGGTTTGGGGGTGATGGGGTCCAGGTGAAGGCTAATGCGAGTGATAGGTGTCAACCCGGCACGGTGTTTCGGGGCGTATGTCGCCTCCGAGTTTCCGGGGTATCATTGGATTCATTGGGTGAGTTTTCTCTGCCTACCCCCCTTTGCGGAGTGGAGTGGATGTGCTCCTTGCCGAGGCGAGGGCCTAGTAAGGAACACTGCTGACAATACTCAGGTCGGTCCGCTGGCGGCCTCGGTGGCGCATGGGTTCGTGTATTTCGTAGATCCCCTGTGGAAGGATCCTAGGGCCAAGTCGTGAGGAGACAAATGGCTTGCGGATCATTGTACAGTATTGATATGTGTGGTGTCTATTAGCGTGTTCGTTGCATTTCTGGAATGCTTGGCGAATTTCTTCTCGGTTCGCTTGAATAATGATATCTGTACAGCACTGGTTGCTGGACTTCGAACTCCAGGGGTTGCTTTCTGCATATGCCTCTGTCAAGGGGGTTTTTGTACGGTTTCTTGTTGGGGCTGAGTTCAGTGGATTTGTGCAGGTTTGAACATTCTGCTGGTCGGAAACAGTCCGAGGGTCCGTTGTTTTGACTGCCTCGCCTAGTCAGCAGGTTTGTAGTCCTTAAGATGGAGCTGGTGCAGGCCAGTTGTAATCTTTTATGAGCTTGGGAAGAGTCGGTGTATGGGAAAGATCCTCTTGTTGTGTGCTAATCCATGCAAAGATTTACCACATAGTCGGCGACCGCACAACCACGGCTCCCCTCTTCCCACATGCTCATGCTCAACGATCACGGCATCCGTCCGCCGAATGATCCCCAGCATATGACCCCCTCTCCCCTTTGCATCAGAGAGGATATTCTTCTGGCTTTCGGCGGTTGCAACAACAAAATCCATCTTAATTTTAAGCTCCTGCTATGGCTCTTGTGGGAATACTCTGGCAAATTGGACCCCTTGCGACTGTTGTTGTATGAGCTCGCAGTGCGGTTGCCAAGCATGCATTAGTTCAAGGAAATGCTGGAGTGTGGGGATGCAGGAAGCGATGATCCCGATGCTGGACTCGATGCACTGCCTCTTATTAGGATTGATTCGTCTGTGGTAATGAATTGGAGGAACAATTTAGTCCAGATGAACTGGTCTGCGGTTCCGCATGTTGATCGTCAGTTTCACGCACTGCAAGAGGGGAAGAGAGCGCACATGTGTAGGCTTCTTGGTCAGCTAGACCTTTCAACTGCGTGCATTTGATGATAGCCATTCCCGTGGCACGAGCATCGCGGTAAGTTCATGTATACAGCGAACGAATGCCGAACATACACCGAGCCGAGGCCTAGTGCTGCGCATAGCGCCAGGCGCTTACGCAGCGACATTTGAAGCTTCATCAGGACGGTGCTGGAATAGATCACGAGGACTAGATCGACAAATCTGGATAGAGCTATCCGTTGCCTTTAGTCTCTTCTCAATCGTAATCCTTGGGGCAAGTGGCACACCTCCAGGAAAGATGGCGTAGTCAATCAACATCCACACATTCTTGAGGTAGCTTTGCCCTCCGTGACAAGGCCGGTCTGCCACAGAGCCCGAAGTGGGTCGCACATGGTGAACAGAATGATGATGCATACTCCAGATATGATCGCTGCCAGTGTGCTGAGTGTCTAGAGGCAAACACGTTGAATGTGGCTGGCATTCAGGATCTGGTTTAGCTTTGTGGTCACGGCTTGATTGGGAACGGTGAACGAGATGTTGTCGAAGAGAAAGTCGAGACAGTTGAGGAAGGTCGCATGTTCGACTGTGGCGGCACTCAACAACCACGCGTGCTTTCCGGAGCCGAGTCTGACATTGATAGTCGTGAGGATGCAGCATACGAGTCCCATGAGCTGGTTTCTTATCAGCTGCGTCGTTCGCGGAGGCATGGTAGACCTACCAGCGAAAATACAATCAGTCATTCGTCTACCCCAAGATTATGCAGCAAGCCTGCTCGGATGTAGATGCGGCCCGTCACCACGACTATCGTTAGAACTGTCAAGGTCCATAACACGATCAAGATCGTTGGCCCTTTGTCATCACTGGCATATTCCGAGGAAGATGGATTCATAGTGAAAATGTACAGTGTTAGAAACTCCCGGTGGAACGCTTTAGGAGATGGTAGGGAACCGATCGATCCCTCTCAAGGGCAGATGTTTCATGGATGTCTATAGAGTGAGAGAAAATTAGTAAGTTCGCTAGAAAGACTGGGGAGCAAGCAACAAATCTCTTACTGCTGGATGGTCCTGACAGATGGAAGACACGAGTTACAGGCCATCTGAGTCAATGATAGCGATACTTTCAAATTCACAGACTGATAAAATGATGCGATCATAGGTGTAACGTGAGTCCGCGGTCTCGGGAATTGTGTTGTTGTCCGGGGAGACGGAGGCGCACATGTCAAGGATATCCTGTTCTCTACTCCTGCCGAACCATGGCGCTGTCATCTCCACATCTCCCCCGTACTTGTGCGACACCCTAGCTCCGTCTCATATAGCCCATCATATTGCTCATGGATATTGCTGGCACACTTCGGGGGGTACGAAAACTCATTCTCTCGCATGGCGTCCACGACTTGCCGGGTCAAGCGCTACTGACGCAAGCCAGGATGGTCCTCCATTATATTAGGACTGTATCGCGCTGGTTGAGGTTCGCTTCAATTCACCACCTTGCAATCTCGATCTTGTGCCGTCACTTTAATATTGTCTTCGTGGAGTACCAGCCAACATGCCAAGTCCAACCGATGCCACAGTGAACGGCCACAACAACGGCCATATCAAAAAGCCCACTCAAGAAGCTTTCACCAACAACCATGTCGCGATCGCTCCCAACGACCCGGAGGAGGTACCTGGACTGCTGAAGAGAATCGCGCTGCACGGGGAGGCTTACCTCATAGAGAATGACGAGCTCGAAAGGACCAAGATACTGAATTCCGCCCGCTCGCTGGTGTATGCCTTGGAGACGCCGCGCGAGGCAGTCATCCGACACTGCTGGTCTCAGGTATGTGTTTTCAGCACACTCTTCCTCCGTCGCGCTTGACGCATGTTTTCTTGTTGACGTCCCTCAGAGCGCGCTTTACGCGGCCATTGAGATAGGAGTAGACCTGGATCTTTTCACGGCGCTGTCGCGGGATGACAGGTCCAAGTCTGCAGCTGAGCTTGCAACGGCGACCGGGGTCAGCCGGGTGATGCTGTGTATGGCCCGCTCCCATTCCAATTTCGATGTCGACGTGAGCTAATATTGTCCTGCTCCCTCTAGCACGCATCCTCAAGCATCTAGCCGCAATGGGCGTCATCAAGGAGTCCGGACCAAACGAATACCGCCGGACCGGGTTCTCTATCTCCATGCAGTCGCCTCGTTACAGCGACGCCTACCCATGCATGTAAGTGACCCCCCACAACCGAGACAAAACTCCGTCTCACTCTCCCAAAAATAGGACCGGTTGCGTCACAGCAGGAGTGCTCGCTCTCCCCGCCCACCTCAAAGCAACCAACTACATGCTCCCCAACGACGGCACCAAATGCGCCTTCCAGCGCGGCTTCGACACCAACCTCCACTTCTTCGATTTCCTGAAACAGCACCCCCAGCACGCCAGCGAGTTCAACAATCACATGTCCGTCTACCACCAAGGCCGGCCCAGCTGGATGGACTTGGGGTTCTACCCCGTGCAAACCCTGGTGCAGGAAGCCACCGTGACCCCCGACGATGTCCTACTAGTCGACGTCGCCGGCGGGATAGGCCACGACCTGTCTGAATTCCACCGCAAGTGGCCCGACTTGCCTGGTCGACTGATCGTGCAGGAATTGCCCGAGGTCGTGTCCCAAGCGCGCGAGCTGAACCTGAACCCGAAGCTTGAGCTGATGGAACATGATTTCTTCGAAGAGCAGATCGTCAAGGGTGCGTCCACTCTCCCCCTCCCCCTTCCGCATTTCAATTGCTGATAAGTGGCACAGGCGCAAGAGCATACTACATGCATTCCATCCTGCACGACTGGACCGACGACAACTGCCGCCGCATCCTGGCGAACCTCGTCCCCGCCATGCGGAAGGGCCACAGTAAGCTCCTTATCAACGAGAATGTCATCCCCGAGACGAACGCGTACTGGGAGACCACGAGCCTGGATATCATCATGATGGCGGACTTCTCGTCGATGGAGCGCACGGAGAGCCAATGGCGGGCGCTGGTGCAGTCCGTGGCCGGACTGCGGGTGGTGAAGATCTGGACTGCGAGGAGGGGGGTCGAGAGTCTGATTGAGTGTGAGCTTGTTTGAGTGGTTTGGATCCGCTGTGTGATTTGCTGGAGGTGGTAGCTTGAGAATGCTGGGCAGTCTGTGCGGGTGGGGTGTGGGTTATGTTGTATTGAGGCCTTTTCTGGCTTTTTTGAGCGTGGGTATAACTGTATCAACATCCGGACAAACTGGGTGGTTTCGTGGGGTTGGGTCTCTTGCTCTCTCTTTGGAGAGTTCAAATGTCCGGATGAGATGATAAAGGACGTTGAACGCTGTATCAATGGTCGATTTCTGAGCTCTTCCATCACTCGGCGGATTCAGGATTGTCAACGCGCATCGTGACTAAGTATGGGATCTGCGATGCGCGGGGGTAAACTTACTACCATCCCTTATCTCAGAGAATGAAAACGATGTTTTTTGGATATTTTTTGGTGATAGTAATGAGGCGTCCAGCATAGTCAGGCATGAGTAGATGACGATCGAAATGGGCGAGGCGTCGTCATTGCAGTCTCTTCCTTGAGACTGGAGAATGTAATTCTCCGAATCTTCTTAGGACTTTGGCTCAGCGCCCTTTATCCCTCCATCCCCTCATCCCACTTGTAACGGCCCGCTGTCGATTCTAGAGATTCGATACATGCTTCTGAACTCGGTTGGATCCTTCCGTGGAGGTCGAATCTTGCCCCATGCACAGGAATCGGCTAGTCAAAGTCGCGGTCTGGGACAGTTGAGTTGAGTGGAGCACATAGAATCCCAGTTGCAGAAGCAGGATGAATCCCAGGGACGCTTGAAGACAAGCAGGGTATGGGCTGGGTTCAATCATTCAAGAAGAGGTTCTGAAGGAGAGCCGCATGCTTGGATAATCCGGCGGAATCATCACGTGATGTTTATATGAGGACAGGTTCGATCGGGATGAGATTGGGGTCGCTAAGTACTACGAGGATGATCCTTGTACAGATAACGAAGTCACACCGGGATTAATCTCATGACCATCACGCAAGTACCTCGAGATAAACTAAAACATGTACCGAAAGGTCGGCGATTTATCCCCCATGGCTCTCAACTCGTCAATCGTATACTCCGGTCGCAGCGCGACCAACTTATCCACTCGTCGAGCATTGATCCGCTGATAGGCCACCCTCATCCCCATCACGCAGATCACGCCCATCAGAGCGAATCCCAACTCAAGGGAGTGACCGAGGATATATCGAGGGGCGTCTTGTGTGCGATAGAAGTGCGACGCCATCGCTGTAACAAATTAGTACTTTTCGAAGATGATGGGGCTGCAGGTTGCAGAATAGGTATCAGCATACCTCCTGCGAAGTTGCCAATGCCAATATACATGGCCATTCCGGCAGCGCGTTTGTGACTGGCGGCGAGATTGGTGCTGAGCCAGGTAACAAGGTTTGGAATAGCAGGGTAAATTCCTTTGAATCGTTAGTTATGAGGCAGGTAGACTAAGAACGAGATTCGTACCGAGAACTGCAAGGAAGACTCCGAAGTAGATCACTCCCGGAACCCATGTCAAAGATCCCGCTAGGCAAACTAGAAATCCACAGACGATGCAGCAGAGATGGAACAAAAGCAGCGGGGAGCGCTGACCCATGCGGTCGGAAAACCAAGCGGACACGATAGCGGCGACTGCGGCAGCCACGTAGGGAGGGACCTTGGCAGTGAGATTGAGATCACATTGAAATGGAGATAAGAAGCATACAGTCAATAACTGGGCCACTGAGGATGTGAAACCGAGGTCCTTGATGATCGTAGGGAGGAAGAAGGAAATGCCGTACAACGGACACACTATGGCGAGGTAGACTGTGACAGTCAGCGGTGATTGTGGTGGATGACGGTGCCTAAGAGATGGTGCGTACTAAGAATCCCCAGATAGACCTGCCAATCGCACACGGCATCCCAGACATACTTCCACCTGAACTCAATGGTGTCTGGCACGACATTTCCGTTGTCGGACCACTGCAACTGCAGGCGATACAAGATCCAGGCTCTCTCCTCGTTTGTAAGGAATGAGGCGGTGTCTGGGTAGTCGTACAGAAGGAAATAGGCCCCAACCGCAACGACGACCGTAGCAATACCCTCAATGATGAAGATCCAGCGCCAGCCAGAGTAGCCTCCGACGCCATCCATTTTCTTGCAGCTCATTAGAATGTAGTCAAGGGCAGTGGGGTTGCGGTACATACTCCGATCGCAAAAGCTAGAATCCCTGAAAAAGCACCTGCAAAACTTGCGGCGCTGAAGAATATCGCTTGGCGCAGCTGTGCCTCGTGACGGGAATACCACATGGTGATGTAGTAGGCTACTCCAGGGTAGAGACCGGCTTCTACAAGAACATTAGGACACATCCATCATAGCCCCGCTCAATCTAAACAATGTCATACCAGTGATCCCGAGAAAAAGTCGTGCGATAAGAAGGCCATAATAGCTTGTGACGACGCCCGTCAAAGTCTTCAGACTGTTAGACAGCTACGCTGTGAGGCCATGTTGCGACTAACCATGACAACTCCCCAAGCTACCATAATTGTAGGTATCCATATCGACGGGCGGATCTTCTTCAAGATCAGATTGGACGGAAGCTCAAAGACCGTATACGTGAAGAAGAACACCGTGACTAGAACGTTAGATTATAGCCAAGCGATCAAGGTTTAGCACATACGAGCCCAGTTGTACTGTGAACCCACTAGATGAAGGTCCTCCTCCATACCCTCAATCCTGGCATTGCCGATGTTCCCTCGATCGAGAAAGCAAAACAGATAGAGGAGAGTCAGGACAGGCATTAGATGCCAATCCATCTTGCGCAGAAGCCTCTGCTCGCTGACGGGATCCCATTCTGTCTCTTGTCTCTGCCTCGTGTCGCGACATGTGGTGCTTGGTACGTGAAAGCTCAAAGGCTTCTGTTCCATTGTCACCAGCAGACTCTTTGTCTGCACGGCGAAAGAGATGGGCACGAAGAGAGTAGTGGTCCCCAGGTGATCCAAGCTTTCGAACGGGGAACGCCTAGCGGTCAGCGCGGTTGCTTGCTTGACGAGGTGCAACGTTCCTCAAGCGTTACGCAAGGGTTGCTGAGGAATGCGGGCGGCGCAGGTGGCTGTCAGGACCTCTATTTGCTGGCAATCAGTACCGTGCCCTCGAGCAGTAAGACCTGGAATTCGAGCAAGTGGTTGGACTATTGGAGATGATTGTGGTGTAGACATACTTGTAGCTCATGATGAACTATGGTTTAAGGTGACATGTTCATGACAAGCAGGCCGGGATCAGAACATGGCTTGGCCGATACAGCAGGCAAAATGGGGTTGTGCTGTCAGTCACCTAGCCGGCCGGCCGGCCAGCAGTGATGAAGCGCATTGCCGCTATTTATTGATGGATGGTGACCAGCAGCGGGACCACTCATCCAGCAATAGATATCTTCTGGTATTTTGAGGCTCTGGATGGTTTTGCATCTAGCACCAATTATTTGCTAAGAGACATTGCTGGTGGTTGAACAATGGACAGGGGCGTGTTCCAATCAGTGGCGGTGAGATTGCGGTTATTGCATCAGAAGGGAGGGATCGATCGCCCTGGTTGCAGATCACAGGGTCTTGGGGAAGTGCTGCATAACAAGATCATAAGCCTTAGTCAGTGGCTCAGTGGCTCTGTGTGTAGAACTATGAGTTGGAGACTCCGGGCCCGGGAGCAGAGATATTCCGCACTCTTACCTACTAGTATCCACTGGCCACTCACTCCAAGTCGCAAAGATCGACAAGCCGCGCATCATGAGATTTGAGGAGTCATAGCAGCTGGGCCCAATCAGGAAACTAAGGATGCGTGCAGTGGCCTGGAGTACAGTACACAAGATCCTGGGACAGGATGGCAATCCTCGGAACTTGATAGAGTATAATAGGGTACTAATACTTCATGCTCAGCTTGCCTGGATCGAAGAAGCGGATATCACGGGCAGAAAAGCCCACGGCAGCCTCCAAGAGAACAGGATGGGGGGCTACAGTACTTAAGTACTTTACGTAGTTAAAACGTAGGTATGACTTGAGGCTGCTCAACCTACTGAGTACTTTAAAATAGTTCGAGTCGAGTACTCCGTACTCCGTATTTCATCTTTTCATGCATCAAAGCCGAATCCCTGTCGAGCGGGGGTGAGATGAAGCGATGACTGAATGGCCGGTCGCACAAGTCACAAATGGGTGAGAAAACAGGTTTGATGCCTGAGAAAGCGGATAAAATGCCTGAGATAACAGGCAGCGATAACACCCACTGCATCAGAATGGGAAGGCGTGACAAGGCGCGAACAGCAGGCGACCAATCAGTACGCGTCTTCGGTCTGAAACTTTTCCGTCTGGTGACTCGGGACACTCGGGGTAAGGCAATCCCAGCCTAGTTCGCTCTCCATCCATTCCACCTGGCTGAATCTATAGGTCCATCCCCTTGTCCGTACCTAAGGATCTCTTTCACCTAGTACTAATGAGGTCGCTGAGATCTCAGTACGGAGTAGGTTGGAAACAAATGTGAGAGGTTTGACCGCAACAACCTTCTCCCCGTCCCTTTTATCCTCCTCCCCCCTCTCTCCGACCACCCCGATCTCCCCAATGGGCACCACCAAAAACCTTTCCAGTTGAAAACGATAAGATAAATATTCTGGGTGCCCCACATCCTCCTCCCTCGGGTTGAGTCCAACATGGAAGTATCTTCCCTTCCACAAAACTCTTCCAGCCGCCTCCTGAACACCCCCTCGCTCCCTCACGATCATACTGACAACCCACCGATTACCAATTGGATTTCTCCGATCGTACCGATCATGACTGTCTAAAGTCGATCGGGACTTCATCGTCAACTCGAAAGACCTTGGACATGCGCACCAAGAGGGGCCCTATCCCCGCTCTCACTGGGCCCTCTGGCCAACCAGCTGGGGCGTCCGATCGAGTTTCCCGGGCCAAAGTCCTGATCCCGCGAGATCGGTCCCGGATCGTACTATCTAGCTCCCGCATACGCACCTCACGTGCCTGCGATCCGTGTAGACAACGCAAAGCTAAGTGCAATGGTGGCAAGCCAACTTGTATCCAGTGCGATGGCTTAGCCATCGAGTGCACCTATTCCGAACAGAAACGCACCCTCGAGCAGAAAGAGCTCACCCTGTTGCGGAGCACCATCCGACGCCATGAACGAATGATCCAACTCATCTCCGCTCGCCCCACAAACCAGGACGATGATACTACAGATCAGGACCCCACGGACTCAACCCCCTCGCAAGGGGAAACCATGGAGGTAAGTCTTTCATATCGTGTGGCTTGACTTCGGTCGTCACTGACCATGAGGGTGGTGGTGTGCTGAACCAGTGTGATCACAGATAGCCCCAGTGGCTCCACCCTCTCAGGAGGAGGAGCCCCCATCCGTGGAGCTTCATTACCCTGAAAGCTTAGACCAAGCCCTAGGAGTGCTTCAGGGGCAGCTACGGGACCTGCATCAGATCTACCAAGTGGTTCACGATTGTGATCCGGCAGTCCTGCCCTCAGTGGTGGAGACCATCCGGCGGAGCGCATCCGTTCACGATGCGGCCATGCATCTCGACCAGCAGGTGTCAACGCAACGGCCCGGAGTCACCCTTGGCAGAGTGCAGCGGGCCTGGCTGAGTCGACTTTCTGGTAAAGCGGAGCTGGTGTGTCGACATCCCCCGTACACGGTCACGGCGGCGGAGAAGTGGACATCGGTCGTCGATAGTGCGGTGGCCTCGCATCTATTCTCCCTCTTCTTCGTCTGGGACAATCCTACCTGGCATCTAATCGAGCCAAGTGTGTTCCTCGCCGACTTTCAATCCGGAAGGACACAGTTTTGCTCCTCGTTGCTGGTGCACGCCATCCTCTTTTTTGCTTGTGTATGTATTGCTACCCCTCGGTCAGCCTTTTCTGACCCAAGTAGCACTATTCATACGACCTGGAGAAGCCATGGGATAGGAGGGAGGAAATGTCCATTGCCAAGAGACTGTTCCGCGAGATTGGTCGTCTCTGGCAGCGGGACAAGGACAATGTATGTCTAACCACTGTTCAAGCCAGCTTAATTCTAGGGCTGTTTTTCAACGCGTCCGGAAAGGATAAAATCGGGACGCAATACATCTACTATGGTGGCCAAATGGCGTTGCAGCTGGGGCTGCATCTTCCTTCGTCGGCCGTCTTCCACAGCGACTCGATGGCGGAAGCGAAGCGAAATCACTGGGCACATAAGCTTATTGCCTGCGGGATATACGATGTCCAATCGTCAGTGATCATCCTCCAGCATGACGCTGTATACAAGGTGCTGATGCCCGATAGTTTAACAATGCAACTGGGGCGCAAACCATCGCCCTGGAAAGCACCCCCCGAGAACTACCTCTCGCAGGAAGAAGCATTGTTTTCAGATGTCAATCAACAATGGGCGCCTTATCCGTTCACATATCCGACATTCAAGCCCTATGCGAACACAGGGGTCTTCGTCCGCCGCAACCTCCTCATCCTTATCAACGATATCTCGAGATTCGAGGCGCAGATGCCTCACCGCGTCGATCTTCCTAGCTGGCAACAAGGCACTCTGATCCACGAGAAGTTAGTCACATTTGAAAGAACTTTGCCGATCGTGCTTGGGATAGGAAGGAACAAAACCCCCCACAATTTATGCCTTCAGTATGTGGCCCAATCGTTCCAAGCCTGCACATCACTGACTTCTGCAGTCTATATTATCACATGGCTGTGGTCAATCTCTGTGGGCTGTTCAATTCCCGAGAAGCCACCACGACCAAGGAAACCATTATTGCTGTAACACAATTCGACCCGCAGCAAATCTTAGAAGATGCCATGGATGCTATGGCAACGATCATCTTAATGTACCGTGTTTGCCACGGGTGGAAATCAATACCAGTGGTCATGGTCCACTACTTTTTTGTTATTGGGCTCCATGCTGCGTCCAATCTGCGATCTTCAAAGTGGCGCGAAGTGCTAGTAAGCTGCGTGTCAGGTCTTTGGCACATGGGTCTAGCGTGGCGAATATGTCGACCGTTTCTGCGCACAATCCAGTTGGTGTTGAGCACTGGCGCCGACGAAACGTTGATTCCCGTCGAGGCGCAGTCCATCTTGCGGGAATTCAACGAAAAGCTGTGGACCCAGCATGACATCCAATCGGTCTCCGCTAATTACGTCGTCCATCATCATCATCCGGCAAGGGATGGACTTCAGAGCGGCGCCTTCCAAGGAGAAACTTTGGAGAACCTGATCCGAGCCTTCGATCGGCTCAGCACAGCGGATGATCAGGTAAGCGTGGCCGCAGCCTGACACAGTATATGACGACTTTCGGATACGCCCCACTAGATATACGGGTGGCCTACATTATTTCTTTTTTGCGTTGTTGTTTTTGTTTGCTTCATGTCAGACACGATGCATGATCATGAATGAGCGATGAGAATACACGACTCACGCCATCATCACATATTACTCGCCGAGAACGGTTATCGATAGAACACGAAATCATACACGCCTTCAGCATTCTGAGAGGTCTGCCAAAGTGCCATTGGTGGGCAGGCTACAGCTCGTTGGGTTCATCTGGCCGTCAAGATAGCTTGGCAGGCGGCGTGCCAGGACCCATGCGCGTTGGCACAGTAGAACCAGTAGCCACCGCCGAAACCATATTATCTTGTTGACTAACGATCGATAGTGACCCTCAGCTGTTCGTGTCAACAACCACCAGCTCTTCCTCAGCTCGCCTTGTCCACTCCATCCAACTACCATCATATAACCTTCTAGGGCCCTTCGCGCCGATTTCCGAGAGTGCTAGATCCAGTGCAGCGGCAGTCACGCCGGAGTTACAGGTCAAAATCCACGAGCGTGGGACCTCGTTCACAACGGACAATCCTGCTTCCTCAAAGATGTCCTTGAGTGAGCCAGCGGGCAGTATCACCTTGGACGTCTCATCCAATAGCCTTGCCAGAGGCACATTGACTGCGCCAGGGATATGTCCCGACCGCAAGCTGGTGTCCTCCTCACTCTGCTTCCCACTGAATCGACCCGCGATTCTCGCATCGACAATCTTAATCTCTTCGTCCCCCACTAACCCCTTAACCTCCTCATATAAGATCACTCTATCAGGATCCGGAATCGTCGCGACGGGATACGCATCCCCCGGCTCTCCTGGGATTCCACCCCCTTTCGAGATCTCCCCCGAGCTCACCGGGTATCCCAAATCCACATACACGCGGAAGTTGTTCAGAACATGCACCGCTCCGTGGCCGAAGAACGAGCACATCCATGCCACGCGCGGCGCGCTATAGGTCCCGATCTCGTATGCGTCGTACACGACCAGGATGTCGGCGGGCCGGATGTCGAGGGCTGTCATGGCGGCGGCAAAGGCTTCGGCGGTAGGGAGCATGAGGGGGTAAGGGGAGGTAGCATCGCGGATGATGGACTGATCAAAGAATCTGCGTTTGTGGCATGACGAGTTGGTACGGTGTATGAATGTGGACGGGGGTAGTAGGTGAGGGTGGCACAGGTCCAACGTGCCCGAGAAGGGCACAAGCATCGATCATGTAGATAGAGAGGTAGATAATAGGCAGATATGTGTATCTATCAAATGCCAAAGTGCAAGTTCTTCATCTTCTGTTCTGGGTGGTGGAGGAGGGTTGGGTTCGTACTTCGTGCCAGGGAGGTGGTGCGCCTCGAACGCCGGAAGAAGCGCCGGCCGCCCTGCTGCTAGGGGGATGATCCTCCTCGCCGTCTTGGTTGTGATGACTACATTGTGGTATTCTGCGGGTGTGATGAGGTAGGAGGGGAAGGGGTCTGTCATTTCGTTCGACTTTGGGGGAGATTGAATTAGTACGCAGTGAGGTTTTTGGGGGGCGGCGCGTGATCACGGAGTAACTTGGAGCTTCAAGTTGTCGGAAGGTAATGCCGGAGCGGACGGACCAGTCTGGGCCCGGCGCGGCCTGCGTCCTTCTTCGGGGCGGGATTGTGGGTATAATTAATCAGCCGGCATAAATCTGCTTAGTGCACTGCATATTGTGCTTGGTTCTGCTTTTGTCGGGTTGATTATTTGGTTGGGGGTTTTTGCTTTGGGTTGTTTTGGAGAATGCTTTAGAGTTTGGTGCTGTTATTTACTGTCAGACTAGGTTGTTCTGGACAGGCTTGGTTGCTTCAAGCAGATTACTTTCTAAGTCCGTTTCAGTGAAGATTTGTGTTGTGTGAAGATTTATCTTGTGTGCCTGGCAAGAAGATATGCCTCCGCCCCAGCTTGATCGATGAGAATAAGTATAGGGATAGGTTCTGGAGAGTGCAGGCATGGCTAAGGCCTGACATTACTCTGACACAGGGGATGACAGCAGAGGAGATTTCCTTTTCCTGAAAAACAGAACATATATTGCTATATTAGGGAAATCTGGTGAGTCAATGTAGTGAATATCTGCGCTGTAGTAGCCTGTGAATATACAATCTGACATCAGGTCTTTTTCTCTCACTTCATCTGCCTTTTTCTTTCCTCTTTGAACCTCCATCTCTTTAACTCTTCATCTCCTCTCCAGCACGATCTTTTTCATAAATATCACTGAAGTCGTCAGTCTTGGATCATTTTCAAGTATTACTGAGACTATCGATCTTCAACTGATCTGAGAAACTTACTGAGATCATTGATTCTGAACTGTTTTGGAAGTCTTACTGAGACTATCGATCTTACACTTGCTTTAGTTTATTATCTTGAGTAGGTACGCGTTCTTCATTCCAAAGAAAACACTTTCGTTACCCTATGAGACAATTAACTCCAGTTTCCTTGTTGTGAAGAAATTTACTAACGCGTTACTGCGTGTCTCTGAGCTTGATAAGGCAGAAGCAAAAGCAGAGGACTTCTGTGCAAGTTCTTCTTTGCTTATTCGGCAATCGATCGATTCGAACATATTCTCGCCACCACAACTGGGTGCAGCAGAAACCCTCAAAATGTTGACACCCTATGCAGCAACCATAGATGGATTGCCTCATAATGCCCTGGGACGGATCGTATTGCCAGGATCCAGTGAGGAAGATACCGAGATGAATGAGTTGGATGAGACAAACAAGCTCGACGAGGTCAACAAGCTCGACGAGATCAACAAGCTCAATGAGTCGAACAACATATCAAGTCACTTTGCCAGGCTACCCAACGAGATATGGGACATGGTAAGCATCTACCTGCAGAAGCCCCTAGCCATCTAAGCTAATGCATGTTCTAGATCGCTTCGTACTTCGTCGAAGACATCGAGGAAGAGCTCTTCGGGCCAACGGTCCGACTCCTAGATAAAGGCATGGACAAGGCTAGCGCCCGGAAACTGCGAGAGCTGCGAGCCTTGAACAAAAGCTTTTATATGCGGATCTCGCCTCTTTTTGCTCGACACATCCAGATCAACGCAGCACGCGCCGGGGTTCCCCGACCATTTCCGCTGCTTGTCTATCTGACCAACAGCGACTACAACACACATGTCCTGCGGGCCGACATCGCAACCACAATCGGCCTGTCCAGCGGCGTGATGCCCTGCCTGCGCAAATTACCCAACGTCAGAGCTCTGAACTACGACTACCAAGTTCGCGAGTCCCTGACCCCCGGAGAAACGATCTATATCTGCAACATCATCATGCGCACGCTCTACGAACTGCCGCTTCTGTACCTGACCGAGCTCCGCATCAGTTTCCCCGTCATCGAAGATAACACGGGCTTTTTCCCTCTTGCGTTCTCTATGGCCCACGGAGACGTGTCGCACGTCCTCCCGCGTCTCACCAACCTGGAGGTGTCGATCCCGACTTACCGCTTTCACGAAATTCCCATGCCAGCGGGAGCCCTGGTCATGAACCGTAGCTTCTCGGCCTGGATGTTCTGGCTGGTCCACTGCTCGACGAACCTGCAGTGCCTGACCATCCGATCCTCCGGCGGGGTGCTGGACTTCGACTGGGCGGACCTCGAGCACCTGACCAAGCTCCGCGTGCTCAGGCTGGAAGGCGTATGCCTGTCGGCCGCGACGTTCGGGCGCATCCTCAGCCTGTCCTATCAGACACTCCACACCGTCGAGTTGAAGGGCGTCGCGCTGCACAGCTGCACCTGGGAGCGGGTCCTGTGGACGTTGGTGCAGCTCCCCGGCCTGCTGAACTTCAGGATCCTCGATTGCGTGTACTCGGCCCAGGGCGCGAGTCGACACCGCGATCCGCCTGTGCTGACGCCGCATGGCCCCGAGGTGAGCGAGACCGAGGCGGCGTATGCGCTCCGCGCGCTGATGTGTCGGGTCAATGCCAATCGGCTGGGCCTGGGCATGGAGCGCATTGTTCTCTGGGAGATTCTCTAATTTGCCTGCGGAAAGCCTGTCCTTCTGTTGTGGTGTTTCGGACTTGATTGCGTTTCTGGATTTACGCCGCTGGTTTGGGACGGTGCTGACGGGGTTTTCGACAACTTTTCCATTTATTTGGGCGTATGAGAGTGGATTAGGGAGACTGTGAAATAGTGCAACCGGTTGAATTTGGCCTTCAAAAATGTTTGTTAAATCTGGTCTAGTCTGAATCAAATGTTTTACAGGTACTTACTGGGTACTGTTTCTATATTGCCTTTTCAGTGAATCTGTTCCATCGGAGGAACATCCGCTCAGTAAGGCAAGCCCGACTGGTGTGCCTGGGAACCGTCCCATCTATGGTAAGGCCAACCATTCCAAAAGGTCACCACCGTAAAACGCCTCGTTACCATAACACACCCACTCTAGCTTCATCATCTCTCAGGTTTTCTCCTTTTCACCACCGCTGACTGGTCACTTCCTTTAAAGGAAGGCATTCTCTCGCTCAAGAACTTCATCAGTCGGTCGGTGCACAACATCCTTGGCAACAAATGACTGCCGCGCCCGGAACGAGGGTCCATTTACTCTACTATCACACACCTCACTCTTACTTCATCACCTCTGTTTTTCATCTCCTCTGCACTTTCCTTTTACTTATCGCCGCACACTGATCTTCTTCTTCAAACCAAGCTATTTTCATATCCACTTTGGCTTTCTGGGCGCATGAATCGTTTGGCACTGTAAACTTTCTTTGTCTCTTCTTTGTCTCGCGTCTTTCAATAAACCACGTCTAAATTGCCCTGGGTGGTAGCCGCGTTTCAACTTCCGCACAGCCTCCCTACCTCTTCCTGCCCGTTATCTACGAGTGAAAGCCCCACGAACATCGACTCAGCCACGTCGCTACGCTTGACGGGCGAGTTCAGATTCGCTGACGTTCATCGCCCACGCCTGGTCCCATCACCCTCATCGCAGGAAAATGGCAACCACAATCATGGATCTCCCAGCTGAGATCAATGCCATGGTAAGCTCTTTGCTGGGCCCGATACATCATATTCTGAACTGACTGCGGGTTTTAGATTGTGTCCTATGTCGGGGTAGGACGTTCGCACCCAATCGCAATAGGCAGCTTCCATGATCCATCTTCCAAGTTGAGATGCCCCTCCTTGTATAGTTATAATACCGAGTTGGCCAATCTGCGACTGGCCAATAAAACTTTCTCCGCTCTTGCTTCACCACTCTTTTTCAGAGTTCTCGCTTTTTGCGTGGGTATTGGAAAGGTGGCTGCTTTCCACAGATTCCTGGAAATTTGTCGCAGCCAACATGCAATCCATGTACGAGAGTTGGAGCTCAAAATCTGCCATTGCCCGAAAGATCCTAAGAACAAGTTCGATGGATTCTCTGAAGAAAGCAAGCAGCGGTTTGAAAAGGAATTCACCACTGCCTTGTCCCGCCTAACCAACATTGAGACTCTGGCGTGGGTGTTCTGGTGTTTCTCTTCGTGGTGTTCAAAGAATCAACATAGCATTCTCTACGAAGCCGTTATGAGAGCAGATCTCCCCAAGCTGAAGAATCTCAAGATTGTGGTCTTCGGATTGCCTTTTTACCCGAAGATTGTCCCAGAGCTGACCGGGGCTTCGCGAGAGCGGGTCAAACGGCTAATTCGACAGATTCGCTGTTTGTGGATTGATCAGGCTGGCCATTCGTTCTTAGATGGCGATGGATTACCATCGCCCGGTCACGACTTCACAGCGTGGTTTGTCAGTGCTCTGGAAAATGGTGTTGACCGCGATTCCGAGTCATCATCCCGCGATTCGGTGTCAACACCCCGAGGAGCGATGACTGCCCTGCAGGCTCCCTCAATTCACCTCAAAACACTCGTTCTAGAAAGCGTGCCAGTATCGCTTCATGTGCTCAAATTCCTTACAACGCAGGCTAGGCAGACAATAAAACGAGTGGAGTTGTCCATAGTCATTGCTTACTCTTGCCGCTGGCGTAATCTCCTGTCGCTCTTGATTCGACTACCGCATCTGGTGTACATGAGGGTGAACAGATGTATTGCCGTGAAGGAGGCTGGAAACTACGCCCATACTCAAATTGGGACTGTTGGTGGCGTGGCTTCTGAGAATGAGTCCGACGACGAATCCTCTGAGGATGGGCCCGCTGATATCAAGGGGCCTGATGTTGATTTGTCTGGCGATGTAGAGGTCGCTCTGTGTAATGACATTGCATGGGTTCCTCAAGCGTTTGCATGGGTTCCTGAAGCGTTTTCAGAGGAATTGCGTCAAGCATTTGCCCGTCTGCTGCGCCATGTTGATGCGAATAGAAGTGCTACTGGGATGCGTCCACTGATGAAAGAATTCGAGTACAAAGTACGTCAATAGGCCACCCTGCCCACTGGGCTTGCCACATGTGAGTCTGCCATCCCAGCAAATCGAATTCCAAGACGAGGTGCCTATGAGAACTCTGCTTCCAAGGGAAGAATAGTTCAGAATCTACGTTTTCTGGATACACGGGGAGAAAGCAGGAAAACAGCTACGCAGTGTGTTTGATATTCGCGCTTTGCAAACACACTATTCAAGGATCTAGGCTGGGAGGTGGAGATTGCTCTGGCTGAAATTTTCATTATCGTTCAATTTGGTTTCCTACTTGCGATGTCTCTGAGTTGAATTTCTTTACCTTGCTCGAAGCTTGAGGATCCATCGCTTGCTGTCATTGTTGAATCATGCAGGAGCCTGGACCGACTCCGTATTTAAAGAAGTCACGAGACGTGCTGTCTGCTGGCTTCTCCGCCCATAAGCCTTGTCGTGTCAACCTCACTCTGCTCAGTACGATCGCCCACTACCTCCCTTTTCCCAACAGTATCTCTTTTCAACCATGTGGGTACTCTATTCAGATCAACGAAGCACCACTACCAGTGTTCCTCCATAAAATCGCGACTGCAAGCTGTATTTGATCGTCAAAATCAGGTCACAAGTCTGAAAGGTCGCTCATAGACTTCGCGGATGTCATCTGTAAGGCGATATTGTATTTCTGAGACCAAGATGCTAATGAGCATAGTTCTAGACCTAGGTTGGGTTGACCCTAATTATTACGCTACACGGTCTATTTCGGTGCGACACTGTGACCCTCAAGCCGGGCAGCTTGCGCAGGAACAATTGCACTCATGCTGGTTAAACACGAGTCGAGCCTGAACATCCAATGCCAAGCACATCGGCTGGGCTTCTAAACGATTCTCTAGCCAAGATAATGTCTACCCGTTAGCTCACTCGGTTCTCGGCTCATGCTGCAGGAGTCTTCTCGAAGTGATGTTGGTTGTTTACAACCTTATGTCATGGACCCGGACGAGACGGCGATCATTATCCGTTCGGAGAATGCCCAGACGCCGGCAGAACTTGGCGAGTCCGGAACGGTCCACCAATTTGTCGGTGACAAGCTTCCTGTCCGATGACATAGCGACCGAAGGGAGAGCACCACGAACTCCCACTTTCTGCCTCTGAGCATGCATGATTGATGACTTGTCGGCCAAAGCCACTCAGCCACGACATGGCTGGCGGGCTAAATTTATCGCTCCGCCGCTCCTGCAGCGATTTACCTTCTCCCCGACTCAGTGCTAAATTCTTGCCGGGGCGACCCTTAAAGCCGCATCGCGGCGCGGATTGGCCGGATGGGCTCCACCTCGGCCCTGGCGCATCTCCAAGGATGTCCGGCAGATCGGTGACGTATGGAGCTGGCCCATGACTGCATCGTCGCTTGGATCTGGAGATACTTTGGTGCCTGGCCATGATGTAATAGGTAAAACACCCTGTGATACTTTTTTTTCTGCCATGATGATTGCAGTAACCAGGAAACCTATATAGGTTGCTAACCCTCTCACTCAAGTAATGTGCAGTGCAGCAGCAATCATCCCGCAGTACGAATATTCAGCCCTACTCGGGCTATCCGACCCCGTCCACCATGAAGTCCTTCACCGTCCTCGCGCTCAGCACCCTCGCTACAACCACGACTGGAATCGGTTTCAACCCTTTGCACCATCTGGCTGGTATCACACCATACTATGCCCCTCAGGACCCTCCCATTGACCCCAAGCCACACCCGGGCTGCAATGTGACCCGCGCCGCATACCTGGTGCGCCACGCCGCCATCTACGCCAACGACTTCGACTACGAGTCGTACATCGAGCCCTTCGTCGAGAAGCTGCGGAACACCACCCAAGACTGGCAATCGACCGGCGCGCTCTCCTTCCTCCGCAACTGGACTGCCCCCGTCGACGAGGAGCACCTCGAGAAGATCACCCGCGTCGGCCTGCAGGAAGCGACCACTCTGGGCCGGAAACTGCACCAGCACTACCCCACTCTCCGCGCCGACAAGGTGTGGACCTCGACCGCTGACCGCACCGTCAAGTCCGCCGAGGGGTTCATCAACGGCTACACGAACAACCAGTCCGCCGCCCTGGATCTCGTCCAGGTGGCCGAGTCCAAGTCGACGGGCGCGGACTCGCTGACCCCATACAAGGCCTGCCCGGCCTACAGCTCCAGCTACGGCAGCGACCAGTCGAAGGTTTGTTCCCGCCATCCCTTCTCACACCACCCCCCCACCTCCAACCCAGCTAATCAACACTGGTACAGGAATTCATCGACCACTACACAACCCCGATCATCGCGCGGCTCGACACGCTGGCCCCGAAGTTCAACTTCACGGCCGATGACGTGACGGCCATGTTCGAGCTGTGCGGCTACGAGACGGTGATCCGGGGGTTCTCGCCGTTCTGCTCGCTGGCGCTGTTCACCTCGGCCGAGTGGCTGGCCTTCGAGTACGCCAACGACATCATGTACTTCTACAACACGGGGTACGGCCGCCCGCTGAGCCCGCACATCGGGCTCCCCTGGGCCAAGGCCAGCTGGGCCATGGTCTCCGGCGACACCAACACCAGCGATACGCTGTATGTCTCGTTCACCCACCGCGAGCTCCCGCCCACGGTCGTCACGGCGCTGGGCCTGTTTAATAACAGTGCTTTCACCGGCGCGGATGACCTCAACACCACCATGCCCCTCGACCAGGTCAACTACAACCGCGCCTGGAAAAGTAGCCACATCCTTCCGTTTCTGGGCAACATCGCCATCGAGCGGTTGGAGTGTGATGTCCCTGGTTACGAGAGCCCGGAGTACTACCGCGTCTTGGTGAACTCGGCACCGCAGCCGCTGGTGGGCTGTCGCGATGGTCCGGGTGAGAGCTGCTCCCGCGAGGGGTTCAGCAAGTTCATGCAGGAGAGAGAGGAGCTGTACGGTGACTTTGGAGGGGCCTGTGGTAACGGGTCGGCTGTTGATACCTTGAGCATTTATAATTAGTTTGGACGGGGTTGAGGGTGTTGGGGTTTATGAGTAACGATTGATATAGTTGTAATATACATCCCGTTTCCTTTCACTTTCGCAAACCACTCTTGCCTCGTTCAAACCCGTAGTTTCCTACCCTCATGAGGATATCATGATATCATATGTACGAAAATATCCAGGCGGATCGAATCACTTCATAAGATCGAGGTTAATGTTGTCGATGCTCACGATCAGTCCAACCAAGCCTTGCAGCGGGCAGTCAAAGTAGAGAGTCAGCCATTCCGCCACCAAAAGACCTTTGCGTCTCTGCGAGAAGTAGACCTGTGACAGGCCCGTCGTCCTCGCAATCTATCTTGACTAGGTTGGTGCATGCAGGGACCCGATTGAAACCCGGAATCGGCATGTCTGTTGGAACAATCTCCGAAGATGATGTTCACAATAAGTCCACTTCGGTTCTCGGAGGATCTTCAGCTTTAGCAAGCTGAGATGTATTGCGTCGTGCTGTGCTGTGCCAACACACGTGTATTGAAGGGTAGCCAGTGACCAAGGATGATCCGATGAGATGTGTGTGCACAAAATGAGAGTGCTAGATTGGCAGCATCATGAACCGTCTACTAAAGACGTTAGCCAGTGAGCTTGATGCAGACATGACACGCAGTTCTTACAGGTACTGAGCGCTCTGTGCGAACTCATCAACTCAAATGACCTCTGGGCTGTGGCGCGCGTCGAACACGAGCTTTATTGCGTGCATGACGCTCCATTCCTCCTCCATCTGATAGGAACCAGTGTCGTCCTCAGTTCTGACCAGAATTAGAATCAGGTTCCCGCTCTCTCCTTGCCCCTTCCCCCCCCCCCCCAAGATCTGAGCTGTCTATTCGCGCGAGACATGGGGCGCGGCCCGGTGAAAACGTAGCATGGGGGGAAGCACCTAGACACGAACCGATTAATCGTCTCCTCAACCCAGCAGACCATAACCCAAGCCACAATGACATGCAGCCAGCATGACTTACGTTGTCTATAAGACGGATCATTAAACGCCCACCGGCGCACAGCCCACCTGGGGCCGGGGAAGGCCCCACCCCTGGGAAATGTGAGATTTCTGTTGAAGATCCAACGGGAGCAAGGTGAAGACTTACGGTGGGAAGAAGGTCTGAAGATTCCCGTTATTTTGAAGGGAAGTTTCGGAATGAATCCAGGAATCCAAGGATGACCTTGGGAGGAAGAGATCGAGGGTGGACTCTGCGTAGAACTAGTGGGGATTGAAGTTTTGCTGTGAGTCTGTTGGGAACGAGGTTCTGTGGATTGGGTTGATGACTGGAGGTAAAGGTACATGCTGAGGTACCTAGTGAATGGCCGGTCTACTTGGGCGTACTTTGGAGCGTTTGATCTGTTTGGTGTGTTTGATCTTTCCATCGGTCCATTCTTATGAATATACTTGCCTTCTGCACTCGCGCTATCCTTCTTGGTACTGTCGGCCACGCTGCACGTGTTCAGCGTGAGGATGCCTTGCTACTCGAAATGCAGTTTTCAGAAGCAAACCTACAGCAAAAGCCAATTCCGCATTATCACTAATCCAACCTGTGATCTTATCACTAATTCTACATGCAGTGCACAGCCCAGTTGGATGACCCTTATAATCAGACCCCTACCCACACGGGACAGCCCATGGGCTAGACGCCTTTTGCGACCGCGGTCCCTGACAAAGAGCCTCAAGAACCGCAAGCCGGTCATTGATTCTATCCATGGGTCTACGCAGGGACCAATCGCAGACTTGATTTGGCCCCATTTACATCCTTCGGATGGGGCCTGCCCGTCAATTTGGGGGCTAATTGTCTGAAGTTCGCGGATCTGAGTAAGACCAACAACAAGCAACGCCAGTGTGAGTTTCAGGATGCGACAGACAGACACATACCATTGATCTGCAAGGCAGAGTCGGGTCCTCGGTTTTATCATCGTCATGGTTCTTCCTGTTGTAAATATCGCTGTGTCCGGGTCCGCGCCGCGCATCGCTCGCAACTCAAACTTCCAGGTCGATTGACCTACATCGTACCTATACAGCGGGTCTACACAAACTAGAAATCGATGATAACATGAGTTCATCCAGCGCGGATGGCTCATACGAGCTCTACAACTACAATCCTTCCGTCGCTGCCGCCGCCATTTTCGTTTTACTCTTCATTGCCATAACCGCCTGCCATGTCTACCAATTGGCCCGAGCGCACGCGTGGTATTTCACCTGCTTCATTTTGGGCGGACTATGTAAGTGTCTTTAGCAGCAGAGCGTCGTAGGCGATGCCGCTAATCAAGCGGTTGCAGTCGAAGTTATTGGCTACATCGCGCGTGCCGGAGCGCACGACAATACAAGCAACCTCTCCATCTTCACTATCCAGACGCTATTCATTCTCCTTGCACCACCTCTCTACGCAGCAACTCTATACATGACACTAGGCCGATTAATCTTTTACCTCGACAAAGAAGAGCTTAGCTCCGTGCCGACGCGCTGGCTCACCGTGATCTTTGTTGCGGGGGATATCATATCTTTTCTGATTCAAGGAGCAGGTAAGCCCCTTACTTCTTGCATCTATCTCTCCTCCTCCCTCAAGAGACCTAACACCCTGAGCAAAAGGCGGCGCGATCCTCAGCCACACTACAACCGACCCCTCCGCCCTTACCACCGGCCAAAACGTCATCGTCGCCGGCCTAGTCATCCAACTGATCTTCTTCACCTTCTTCGTCCTCGTCGCCACTGCCTTCCACTATCGCATCCACCGCAGTCCTTCCTCGAAATCCATCTCCTCATGCATCGCCACCGACGGCTGGTTCCACGCCACCTGGGAGACCACCCTGTTAGCCCTCTACTTCGCCAGCGCGATGATCCTGGTGCGCTCGGTGTATCGACTTGTGGAGTACGCAAGTGCCGGGACCACCGGTAGCGACGGGTATTTGGGACGGCATGAGGTGTTTGCGTATGTGTTTGATGCGTTGCCCATGCTTCTGGGGATGGTGGTTTTGGCGGTATGGCATCCCTCGCGGGTGTTGTTGTTGAACCGCAAGGTGTATCAGATGGATATGGCGTTTAATGAGGAGGGAAATGATGTGCAGATGAGTAAGATATACCTGGGGTGAGTGAAATCTAGTATATAGCGCCCAGCAAGTCGGGGATTTAGTATATGTCGTGTATGATTTCTGCTAGAGAGATGGTCCTGTATACTAGTCTCGGGTTATGGTTTCACTTCTGGAGTTAAACAATAGATATACTGAACTTATTGTCCAGCCTCAAATACATGTCGCTTGCAGCCATGATCCGGCGAAAGAGTTGACGACGTCTCTGAGCGTATATAACTCGGAATAAGCAAAGATTTTCAGAAATGATGAATATGGCAGCCATAAAGAAGCTCTGTGGCAGCAAATCCATGATCATTAGTTGTTGACTCCATCTTGCAACATGCACGTGACTCGGATGCATTCCTAAACTGAAGAATGCGGGGTGGAACAACGCAGTTGAATTGATCGATGGCCTCTCAGATGGACCGATAGATTGTTAAAAAAGACCTAGATCTGGTCAATTCATAACTGGGTGGCAGCATAAGCTCCTCTATATGGTAAGTAAAATAGCTCTGCCTTGTGTTATCAGATAAGTTGTATTCTTGGTTGCTGACTGGTTCGAGGGTATACTGAGCTGTGGACATCATGGTTGTGATTACGAGCTGACAGCATTGCTTTTTTTAAGGGGGTTGGGATCTACGATGACAGGTCACATTCTGAGAATTTCCCCGCGATCATCACAACAAACGCGCTGGCCCACCCGCACAGCTGTCTCATCAGTTTGCTTATCATCTTCCACCAACGTGATGTGTTCTGCCTGAGATCGGAATCTCTAAGAGCCACCCATTATCTCGGCTGGCCCTGCCTCATCACCAAAGCAATACCCTACGCCGGACACTGAGTCGGTAACCCGTGGCCAAAACGCAGCGCGCACAGGACCATCCCACGGACTGGACGGCCATCGTTACACAAACACCCGATTGAGCAAACCAAGCGAGCTCATCCTGGCGATAGAGCGCAGCATCGAAGTCATCCCCACTTCCTTGACAGCTACAACCCACCATGCCAACCATCGAAGCCGGCAACCGCGTCTTCCATGTCACCGACATCGACCGCGAGGAGTGCTCGCGCATCGTGCCCATGCGGGTTCTTTCGCTGGGTCTGACGAGGACGGGATCCGAGTGTGAGTGTTTACCTGTGGCAGGTTGCCTAAGCTTGACGAGTCGCTCTCAACGTCAATAAAGCGGTAGCTGACATACACATACATATTTCTAGCACTAATGGACGCCCTGCGCATCCTCGGCTACCACGAAGCATACCACGGATACCAAGCCATGATCAACAACCCACGCGACTGCGAGATGTGGCTGAAAGCTTTGCGAGCGAAGTACGACGGGGTGGGACAGCGGTTCGGGCGCGAGGACTGGGATCGGCTATTGGGGCATTGTCAGGTCAGTTTACCAGGCTCTGGCTCTTATCAGTTGTTGTAACCCAGACGCCATGACTTGGTATACGGAAGTCCAGCAGTTGCATGCTAACGCACAATGCCATAGGCCGTCTCCGACCTTCCAGCCATCTGCTTCGCAGAAGACCTCATCCAAGCCTACCCCGAAGCAAAAGTCATCATCACAGTCCGCGACGTCGATGAATGGTACGAGTACGTACACCTATCTTCCAATCCCAGCCGTCCCCGTCCCCTCGTCATAGAGAACAGCGCTAACTAATCCCCAGATCAATGATGACCCTCGTCACCGTAATTGACACCCCGCTCAACAAATACCTCCTCGTGCCCCTCATCAACATCATCAACAACCTCCTGCATTCCCGCTTCCGTCTCGTGCCCGAGACCTTCCGTAGAGCCGGGTTATGTCTCTACGGGGAGGATGTCCGCACCACCGCCCGCGAGACGTACCGCAACCACGTCGCCAAGATTCAGGCCTTAGTGCCCAAGGACCGACTGCTGCTGTACCATGTCAAGGAGGGGTGGGAGCCGTTGTGTGCGTTTCTGGGGCAGCCCGTCCCCGCGGTGCCGGTGCCGAACGGGAATACCAAGGCGGATATGTTGGCGTGGCATTGCGCGTGTATGTGGTTGAATCTGAGGGAGTGTGGGTGGAAGGTGGTTAGGGGGGTTGTTTTGGTTGGGCTTGTGGTTTGGGTTGTGCGGAGGGAGGGGATTCGGTTGGGGGGACTGTGGGATGGAGTTTTGGAGGCGTTGAGGTTGTAGATTCCTGGGTTTGGTTTGGGTTTGTGGATTTGGGAGCTGATGAGAGTGTATAGTGAGCATAGGAAGGTCTGTTGTGATGGTTCTATCTGAAAAGTGCTCCGTCGCTGACATAGATGACACCATTTCTGGCACCGTCTACAACGAACACAGGGGTGGTGATTTCTAGGTACTCTCAACCTGCTAGCAGGCAACCACATCCCCAGTACCTCCTAACTGTACTGTACCAATCTCCTCCCATCCATATACAATGCAATCACCCCACAAAGCACCCCTTAGATCCACACCCGGCCAAAACCTCACCCCCAACCACCATATCACGGATGCCTACAGGCTACACCCTACGCCTACTTCACAACACATTGAAATGGTGGAGCCAAGCACTACACCCTCGACAGACCATCACACAACAGTCTACAGAAGATACACCATTCCAACCAAGAAAGCACTAACCTCCGCCCAACACCGAAGAACTTATCCGGCCGTACGTGATAACAACCATGATGTCTCACTTCTCATTTTAGTCCAAGGCAGCAGGATTCAAGCCTATCTATCGCTCCGATCGCTCTCCAGCGAAATTGTACTATGTACGGACGGACCTTCATTCAACCAGTCTCTCGGTGGCTCCAGAACACAGTATGATAGACACGATGGATCAGCATGCAGAACCGCGCCTCCCTCAGCCACAGCCCACAACCTTACTCGGACGTCTCTGGGGAGAATTCGAATAACGTTACTGTACGCACGTAGGTTCCGTCTGTAGCTGTTGCCCCTTCGGACATTCGTCCATTCAGACTCGGATGTTATTGTCTCAGGGGGTGGGGACTTTACCGGTTCTGGTAACGAGTGCCGACTGCCGCGGAGGTAGACTTGGTGCGGTGGAGTTGTTGTGGGGAGGTACGGCCTTGATTTCTTTTTTGGAGGGCTCGAGTCAGCGGTGCGGACCGGGTTTTGCTAGGAGTAGATGAAGAGTTTTTAGGTTGACTGTGGTTTTATTTGGGGGGTTGTAGAGTTTCTTTGGGGTCTGTATGCGCGTGTCTACGTTCTGGAGTGATGGGTGGGATTCTGGTGAGTTGGGGTTTACGGTGTCAATGGGCAACAGTCCATATGTTGTAAGATGGTTTGTCTACTGGAGAGAGGGTGGTGGAGGATAGTGAGAGGAACAAGAGGATGTGATTTTATCCCCGCTGGTTTATGATTTATCCCCAGGTAAGACATGTCCTTGTACTGATAGTTCGCTTGTGTGGTTCGGCGGTTGATCAATTCCTTCGAGACGAGGCTGGGGTGATGATCAACACTTTGCTAACATCTACTGTAGGCGCGAACGGCTTGTCTAGAGTTTTGACGGCAACCGAGTCAAAATGATGGGCACTTGACTTGCTGCATCACTGACACGCGAAATCGAAAGGTAATCGAGTACGTAACCGCAGGCTGGGCTGGATACTACCCTGCCGATGTCTTGGCGTGTCTTGGGGATGTGCCGCAGATCAAACACGCGAGCACCATGTTTCAGATGCCACTGTGACGGCCGTCTGCTATATCGGAAAGGTGAGACTTCGTCTAGGAGACTAGAATTGCAGGCGGGTGGTCCTCATGGAGCGATGGGGCGCGGTCACGCCTCTGCGAGGGAAAAAATTAATTCTAATCTGATAATACCTATTCCGTAACCTCTGGGTTGAGGGTGGCGAATAGCCTCGGCGCACAAGTGATGCGCCCCCCAGCATTCCGGAATGGGAGAGGATCATCCCGCATTTGGCCATCCCCATCACATTTCTGGGCTGAAGCAATTCTAATTTAGCCAGTGTGAGGCGATCCCTCGAAGCTTAGTTGTTGTCGATGTGAAACTTCGGAGATCTTTTTTCTTTCAAGGTACGGCGTAACTAGGAACTGAGTTCAGGTACGGCGACATCTGCAAATTGAGATTGTGGTTGCCTAGAATCACACAGCCCATCATGCTTGCGTGGCCCCTAACGTAGGCGGATCCCCGAGGCTCGGTTCTTGTTGGCCGCGGGGGTGCTAAGCCTTGGGTCCTCGAACTTAGTGGAAGCTTGGCTCTGGGGAGTTGCAGAATTGCAACCAACAACAGGCGAGCACACGTCACGGGGGCCCCGACCGGCCGCGTCACAAGCCACGGCACGCAGGCACCAAGGCACCCAGTGTCATCATTGGTGCTAGTTGCGTGATCTGAGGTTGCAGATGGCGTTCCATGCACCTTGTTCACATGCCCGTTTCTAAAAACAGTGATTCTCAGAGGGCTGATGTTGGTGTTTCGCTAGCGACCGGGGTTCGCCATTGGTTGACACACCCATGCATAACTTGCTGACTGCATATGTAGGTGTGTAATGACTGACCTGGGGGATTAGTTATTAGACGCCCGTCCAGTCCTGTTCTCCAACGTCAGCAAGACTGCTTTATTTTCCATTGCATCCGTGGTTCCTTGTTTTGATCACGCACGTATCTAGACACGCACACATCGATCTTTGGCACAAGGCAACAAGAAAAAACATGGCACCTTCGATCGCGTCTAGTGACAACCGGCCCGAGTCCGGGCGCCCGGCAGAGCACAACCACAAGGCTTCGCTCTCGAGCAGCGCCGACCCGAACTCGGCCCTAATGGGGGAGCGTGCAGGTTAGTGGATGCAAGGAGATTGCATGTTTGATTGCCACAACACCAGAACTAACTGGCATGGCTGTAGTGGACAGTGTCGGTTCCAATGGCTTCTCCCTACGCTCAATGCAGCATCGCGACCGCGAGGGTAAGCTGATCAGTGCGTTTCCCCTTTCCCCTGTCTCGACACGCCGGTTTGACTGACTGACTGCTCTTATAGCGGATCCTGACTTGTCCAACCCTACCCGTTATCGATTCGAGCGGCCCTTGGATACAATCCGGTCCTTTGAGGCGGCTATTGAACGACGCAGACGAGAAAATGCTGGCTTGTAGGGAGGACGCTGAGAAAGACTGAGGGCGGAAATTCTAGAGGTGTACGATTGATTGTTTATGTTTCAAATCTGGCAGATTGTATTATTGGGAGGCGTTCAATGATGTAATGGAAGCGATGATCGATTTCAAACCTCTGTTTTGTTTTGAGATGAGATGTGTTCTGGAATCCTCGTAGTTGGTAATTCTGCATCTTCGGTCGGGAGCGTCTGGGGCTTGCCGAACTCCGTCGAACCGCTCGCTGCCTCAGGCGTACCTCAGGCCGGGATCGACAACCCGTCCGTCAGTCATCGATGACAGCTCAACTTCTTACACTTCATCATCTGCAGTACATCTACTTGCTAATCTATCTACAAACAACCATGATCTCTTTGTTGTCTTACACTTCCTACCAAATATCTGGCCCCCTCTTCGTCTGCCACCTCCGGGCGACATGCGCTAATTACTGGTACTTATAGCCAGCGCGACTGCCGTCCCCACTCGAGGGAAAAATATTCTTCTCTAAGATCAGGCATCCACTTTGGCACCACGACGACGCATCCTCCACCCACCAATTCGGCCACCGTCCCACTTCACCATCGTTCGTCTACCGAATTTTCAGTCCAATGGCTTCGCGCCTCGCCGCGAGTGGACGCTCCCGAGCAACTCTAATCACTAGTCCTTTGCTAGCACCGTCCTGTCCACTACAACTGTCAACCGGCATGATGGTGGGTGACGCGTTCGCCTGTATAGCGGGCCCCAGCCAGGAGGTTTGAGAGGCCACAGCTCTGGCAACTTGCATCGGAGGAGAAATTTGAGGGTTGCTAATTATACGCTGTTCTTTTAAAATAGCCTGTGCCAGGTTTTTCCTTGGAAGAACGGTTATATGTTCCCCTCTCAGTTCCCTGTTGTAAGCGGACTGAGGTCTTGATATACTCGTCATTCGTTTTTTGTCCTCCATTCACTCGTTATCCTTATATCCCTGGTTGTATTTGCGTTTTTTCTTTCGTGCACTTGATTTGAACAAACTCCTAGCATCATGAAGCTCTCCCTCGCTCTTGGAGCGGCAGCCTTTGCGGGATCTGCTCTGGCAGACATTGATCCCATCGTCATCAAGGTAGGAGGCTGGCTACCTACCCTACTGAACTGCCGTTAATAGCTCCAAGGGCTCCAAATTCTTCTACAGCAGCAACAACACCCAGTTGTAAGTGACTTTGCTCCCTCTGCATCGACCTTGCTAACAGTGCCTAGCTATATTCGTGGTGTTGCCTATCAGGGTATGTGTTCTGAACACATTTGACTTCAAGCAGACTCTAATGCCTTCAAGCCGACTATGACTCCAACTCGACCAGCAGCAGCTCCAGCAGCTCTACCAGCTACGTCGACCCTCTGGCTGATGCCACCACCTGCAAGCGTGACATTCCCTACCTTCAAGAGATCAGAACCAATGTCATTCGTACTTATGCCATCGACCCTACCAACAACCACACTGAGTGCATGAACATGCTGGCTGAAGCCGGCATCTATGTCATCACCGACTTGTCGGACCCCACCCAGTCCATCGATCGGGACAGCCCGACCTGGGAGACCAGCCTCTTCGCCCGCTATAAGGAGGTCATCGATGACATGTCCCAGTTCAACAACACCCTCGGCTTCTTTGCTGGTAACGAGGTCTCTAACACCATCGACACTACCGATGCCAGCGCTTTCGTCAAGGCCGCCGTCCGCGATTCGAAGGCCTACATCAAGGCGAAGGGCTACCGCTCCATGGGTGTGGGTTATGCCACCAACGACGATGCTGACATTCGTGTCAACATGGCCGACTACTTCAACTGTGAGAGTGAGGATGTGGGCGTCGACTTCTGGGGTTACAACATCTACTCCTGGTGCGGCAACTCCACCTACGAGGAGTCCGGCTACGAGGCACGCACCGCGCAATTCAAGAACTACTCCGTTCCCGTCTTCTTCTCCGAGTACGGTTGCAACACCAACGGTGTTCGCGAGTTCACCGAGATTAAGGCTCTCTACGGTGACGAAATGAACGGCGTCTGGTCTGGTGGTATCGTCTACATGTATTTCCAGACTAGTAACGACTACGGTAGGTTGCTCGGTGAACATGTGCATTCTTACATTCTAATATACTCCAGGTTTGGTCTCCGCCATTGACAGCACAAGTGTCAGCACGATGGCCGACTTCAAGTACTACTCTTCGGAGATCCAGAGCGCTACGCCTTCCGGTGTCGACAAGGCATCCTACACCCCGACGAACACCGCGCTCCAGAGCTGTCCGGCGGTCGGTACCTCGTGGGAGGCCAAGGCCACTCCCCTGCCCCCGTCTCCTAACAGCGCTCTCTGCTCGTGCATGAACGCCGCCGCCGGGTGTGTAGTCAAGGACTCTGTCTCCAGCAGCAAGTACGCCACCCTCTTCAGTGAAGTCTGCGGCTACATCTCCTGCACGGGCGTCTTCCATAACGCCACCACCGGCACCTACGGTGACTACGGCATGTGCGAGCCCAAGCAGCAGCTCAACTGGGCTCTGAACCGCTACTGGGAGAGCCAGGACAAGTCGGACTCCGCCTGCAGCTTCGGCGGCTCCGCCACCACCACTGCCGCCAGCACCGCCAGCACCTGCAGCTCTATGCTCTCCCAGGCCGGCACCGCCGGCACCGGCTCCGTCTCGGCCACCATCACCGCCACCGACGACTCTTCCTCCAGCACCTCCACCTCCACGTCCGACTCCAGCTCCTCCGCCGGCCACATGACCGGTGCCTCCATGGTGGCTGTTGGCTCTCTCCAGCTCGGTGCCTACGTCGTCACTGCCATCGGTGCTGGCCTGGCCATGATCATGCTGTAAGGGGAGAGGTGCATGTGTATGGTGGATCCGTACTCTGCGATTCATGTTGCATGTTGCTATATAGAAGGAGATTAGTTCAGCTCGCTGCAATATTCTTTCATCACACTCATTTACTTTCTCCGTGTACATTACCTTCAATCATTTCTATGCCTTCGCTTGTGCAGTAGCGGTTGAACGTGGCTGGAACACGATACAGCCAGTTGCCTCTGAAAGTAATCTACATGAATCACCCAGCCCCCTTATAAACTTATACGGCCAGCCAGCTTTTGTCTTAAGACATTGCTCTGCCTCTGGACCAAGCTACACAGTACACAGACACGTACGTCCTCCAGCCGCGACCCATCTACGCATACGCATCCCAACTCCGAAACGCCCATCACCTTCCTTCTACCCTGGTTTAAATCGGACACAATCAACCCACGAGCATCGCGCAAGTCCACACCTTTACTCCCCCACGAGATCCCGACTCGAGCTTTTCAAGGTACCCGAATGCGGCACTTCATTGCCTTCACACGCTGTTACGCCGGTAGTGGTGCATACTCAAGGCGGAGAATCGGAGCCTGATTCTTGTTTCAGCAAGCAAGCGAGCGAGCCGAGCCGAGACTATGACCAGACCAAGCTACAGTAAAACCTCACCCCCATATTGTGAAAACTCTTTCATATCCTCATATTAATAAACATTACCTATTACGAATATCATACACAAGAATCGAACCCAACCCTAGTCTCAAGGCCGCTTCCCAAGCACCCCGCACGCACTCTACTCGCTCTTCTTCATCTTCTTCCCCCTCGGCCCGGCAACCGTTCCCATCAACACTGCCAACACATTAGCACTTCCATCCTCACCCACACGAATCGACAACAAGAAAGGAAGAACTCACCATCCCAATGCTTAAACGAGCTGGAATAATTGCCCCGAAAATACCGATGATGATCATCATGCCAATCGGAGCCGCCCCACAGCGGGAAGACCCTGCGCAGGCTCCAGGGGAAATCATACCCGGAGTGCGCGTCGATGGCCTGGAACTGGCGCAGCGCGACCCAGACCAGCACGGTCATCAGGTGGACCTCGCCCGTGCACCAGCCCAGCACGAGCGGGGGGCCGATGGTCCCGAAGCCCAGCAGCATCGTCTCCCAGGGGCTGGCGTATTCGGCCGTCAGGCCGAAGGGGGTGGCGTACTGGTGGTGGACGCGGTGGACGGCGCGGTACAGCGGGCCCCAGTGGAAGGCGCGGTGGAGCCAGTAGTGGTAGGTGTCCTCGACGAAGAAGAAGATGGTGGTTTGCAGGGCGAGGGTCTTCAGGTCGGGAAAGGGGAGGGTGTATTGCAGTCCGAAGAATTCCATCATCGGGTGGAAGAGGACGATCAGCGGCAGCTCGACGATGAAGTGGATCGCCAGGATGTATTTCACGCAGTTCCATTGCTCGCGCGCCGACGGCGGGGCCTTCGTGTCTTGGATCTTGAAGCGGTGGAAGAGGCTGGGGAAGGCGTCTGCGATGATCCATGGGATGCAGCGGCTGAAGTACAGGATCTCGTGCGCGAGGAAGGTGATGATTCCTGGGGTTCATGCGGGTTAATTGAAAGGGGTTTGGGGGTGGGTTTTGCAGGGTGGGCGTACCTGTTGCGATGATGTCGTTGTCCCAGTAGGCGTAGTGCGTCCACCAGAGCTTCTCCAGGAAGGACAGTTTGGGGTTCAGGCTGGCGATCTCGTATAGCTCGTGGTAGGAGCCCGTCGCCGGCGCGGCCAGGGTGGTGTTGAAGGTGTAGTCCATGATGGGCTTCCTCAGCGCATATCCCGTCACGCTGTTGATTCGCTTTGAGGTTGTAAATCGAGTCGACAAAAAAGTATATGTACTTTTCTCCTCCTCGGTTGTGGTGGTGGGTATCCGGATGGTCTGATCGGACACACCACTCCGGATCCCGGGCAGAACATCAACTGATCCCGATCCGTGCCCTGAAATTAATTAATCCCATCAACTCAAATCCCGCCCGCCACTCACACGCCTCCCTTACCTTTCCCCGGATTCGGCCAGATCACCATGGCCCACTTGGGATGCATAATGTGTTTGATTATTGGTTCTTTGGACGCGCGAGGTCATTGGTCGCTTGGAGGCAACGGTCGAGACAACCTTGCATGCGCCGCAGAGGTCATTCTGGGGCTAAAACGAACGAGCCGGTCGAACGACGCCGGATGCCCCTGAGCCATCGCTGCCTAATTGTACCCATGTACTCCAGGTCAATCTAGTCCGGTGACGATCGTCTTATTGTTTGCGTCTGGGGAGTGTTGCCCGCGATACGATTGTGGTTGGTACTCGGGCTGGCCAGATCCCGTCGCAAAAGCCGGTAACTCAATTTTCGAAGTTTCTTTCGTATCTACGTGGAGAGACTTGCGCAAGAGGCGTGGGGTCAGAGATTCTCTACGGTCTACAATCGACTGATTTCTGGCTCATAACATCGATTCTCAATGGTTCATCGAGGCCTAGATCGTTTCCTTCGTGTGGTAACTTGAATATCTGTTTTTCTGGAGGAAGTCCACTGCAGATAGACATTTCAGTTCCTGATAGCCTCATGCAGCTGATTCTTGGCGCTGATTTGCGATTCATCTAGCCAATGAGTATCCGCCGCGTCGGCCCATGGTGGAGAGCTCTCATATGGCAATGCGATTCCGAATCTCCTCAAGCAGCACACCTAATTGTTCGGGCTAATCGTTCGACGGAAGCAGCAAGACAGCACGCAAAGGGGGTCTTTTGGATTTAGCCTGACCCATTCTTGACGCACGATCTGAGGTAGTCGTGTTTTGGAATGATCTCGAAGGACAGAAAGGTCTAGGTATCGCGGAAGTGGTCACGCCACTGGTTGATGGCGCTACCGATTAACTTGCTTTTATATGAAAATGCCTTTGCTTGTTTGAGCAAGTCGCCAGTGGCGTTATAAACATCTAGGTTTCTTGCCAACAAATATAGGGCCTTTGGTAGTTTTAGAGCCTGGACAAAGCAGCATTTATTCGGCCGGGTTCTGCTGCTCAGTGAGCTTGAGGGCCAGCATGATTATCAACGAGCCGTATCTGGACATCGATTAAGACCTTCAGAGAGCTTGAAGCTTTTGCAAGATGGAATACGCGGAGTATACAGAGTGCTCGATATCCTCGCCTAGCACACTGAATCTGACTTCGCCAGTGAAGCTGTCGCAACCTGGGGTGTGAACAGCGCTGTGGTTGGCAGATGTAAATTAGCGAAATACAAGGGATCGTCGCTAAAGAAGTGCGCTGCATGATGACTGCTGCCTCTAGAGCTGATACACTATGAGTAGGCGTACTGGTCGTCTTCGCATCACAACTTTGTGAGCAGGCTAGGCTGTCCTCGTCTCCAGAGCAAGTTCGATGGCGCATGGGTGCGAAAGACATGGTCCAGCCTCACTCACCTGCAAAACAAAATTCATTGTGGCCTTCAGACAGACCATTGGTGCTCTTGTGTTCCGATACAAGTTATGGAGAAAGATAGAAGAACAACGCTTTCTGCCGAGCTGCAAAATGGTTGATGTGCAGGGGTATGCTGCAAGCATAGAGGGAGACAACAAGTGGGATCTCGGCCGCGGTCTCACCCCGGTCACTTCCTTCTCCACTCCCGCTCTTCTCCGCTCTTCTCCGCTCTCGTCCGCTCTCGTCCGCTCGCTCTCAGCCTTCTCTTCTTCACAGTCCCAACACTTTTTCTTATCGACCAGTAGTGAGCCTGAGTCTCTCACAAACACACCTTAGCGGCTGAACTAAGGACAGCGATTGCGCATACGAAAAGCCGCAATTCCGTGGCCTGCGATGAGTTGTCTCGCAGGATCCCGCAGGCCGGGCATGCAGTGCCAACACGTCCTCCCCGGTCCTCTTTATCATCTTCCACGAATGCTCAACTCCTAAGCTTTTCTCGCATCGCAACAAGTCAGCCTACCTCAAAATGTCGAATCGACAAGCTTGGGAAACCACCGAAGTGATCATATGTGGCTGTGGCCCCACGGGGGCGATGCTGTCCGCCTATCTCGGTCGCATGGGTATCCGCAACGTCGTTGTCGAGAAAGAGACCGAGATCACGACTGACCCTCGTGGTATCGCATTGGATGATGATGGCATTCGCTTGGTTCAAGGACTGGGTTTGTACAATTCGATCTACACGGAAATTGGAACTAGTACGTGATTCTCTGCCACTAACAATTGACGTGCGCCGCTAATGTACGAAAGGTATGGGGGAATTCAGGTTCGTTAGTGGCACTGGTAATGATCTATACAAGACACCCATCCTCGAGATCAATTGCAACGAGGTCAGTCATCCGTTCTTGATAATAGGCTCGATGGTCGCTCACCACAACTAGACCTCGGGTACAACAGGGCATGTCGGGTACATTGGTCAAAAGCAGCCGACGCTCGAGAGTCAGCTGAGAAGCGCCATATCTCCCGTGTATTGTTCCCTGCGATGCGGTTCCGCGATTGTCGACATCAAGGAAGATGACGACTGGGTGTACTGCACGTACCACAACGTGGATGGGAAGGACCACAAGGTGCGCGCCCGGTACTTGATCGGGGCCGACGGCAAGACGGGGTACACACGTAAACAATACCTGGAGCCACGCGGGGTGATGATGGAGAAATTTCACGAGTAAGTTCCTCGACTATTCCTAGCTGAAGGCGGATTCTCATCATCGAATATAGAGCTTTCTACGAGGAGACATGGGTAGCGCTGAACTGGAAGATGACCCTCCCGACACCCGAAACTCATCCCAGCTTTCCCTTATGGGAACTAGGCTACAAACCAGAGCACGTATACGACTTATTCTTCCCGCCAGAGTTCCGCTTTCTGTGCAATCGCAAGAGACCGGCGGTTTGTGGTCGTTTTGGCCTGCCCGAGGATAGGCTCTGGAGATTCGAGTACCTTGTCTATCGCGATGAGGATGGAGATCGCATGGCTGAGCCGGATGCGATGAAGCGGATTGTTCTTCCTTACCTGACGCACAGAGGGAGCAGATACGGGTTAGTTGATTTCCTGGCTCAGAAGCGCCTGCTAACGAGTCTGTAGACTGGACCAAGATGTACGATTCCCTGAAGACTGTATTGATGTCCTCCGTTGCCGCCCTTTCAAATTCTCGTCTCGTACATGCAACGTATGGGCTAAGGATAGGGTGATTCTGAGTGGCGACGCAGCGCATGTCTTTCCGCCTTGTAAGGTCTCCATTCTGAGCCTCTGATCTAGTTACTTACATCTTCATTCCAGTTGGAGGCCAAGGCATAGTATCCGGTTTTCGTGATGCAATCTCCCTGTCGTGGCGCCTCGCAATGCTCTGCCGATATCAACCCTACAAGCGCAACCACGAGAAGGTCTTGACCGCATGGTACCTTGAACGCAAGCAGCAGCTCGAAATATCTTTAGCCACGACGGTCCGCAACGGCGAATTAGTGTGCGAGAGAAACCTGCTGAAGATCCTCTTTCGGGACTGGTCTCTTTGGCTCCTGCAGCTCTTGCCAGGTTATCGAGAGCAACTACGACATGGCCGTCGCGACAAGGCATCATTCCGGCTTCGACATTCTGCAGGCATGCCATTCGTACCCGAACTTAACGGAGGTGTCTACTTGCCCCAGGTCTATTGTCGGACCCCCACCGGCAAGGTCCTTTTCACCGACGACGCCATCTACCGTTCCGGCTCGAAATCCCTGTTCCGCGTGTTCATTTACCTACAGAGAAGTAATGAGGTCGCTTCTGCACGAGACGCTCTGGAAGGTATCGAAGAATGGTCCCGCGGAGAATTCCATAGCCACGACGTCCCGATCCTCGTGGAAGAAGTGGACCCGAAGGACGCGATTCGGATGCCGAACGTATTCCAGATCGCAAGTGTTGAAGAGTTCTCCCGGTCACCTCTGTGCAGCCAGCGCCCTGCACCCCTGTCGTATGATCCGTGCCTGATCGGAAAGAGCATCAAGGCGAGGTATGTGATTGTCCGACCGGACCGATTCGTGTTTGCAGCTTGCAACGAACCGGAGGAGTTGAAGGAGGCGGTAGAGTGGATGCTGAGGTATCTCTACGGTGAGGTTTGAGGTCTGAAAGCGCCCACCAGGACCAAGTTAATGTACCTTGTGATAAGTTACGTGTATATACTCTTCATTATGAGAATGAACCCCTGTTCTCCAATCCACGGAGTTCCCGTCCCCAAAGGCAAAGGTTGAACCTCTCCACGGACAACCCGACCATCAGCGCCGAAGCAGCGGTCAAAAACCGTCCACAACGCCGGCCTTCCTGGACCGGACATAACCACACTTGTCCAAATCCAGCCTAGTCAGAATTCCCTCAGCACAATTAAAAGAACGGCACCCAATCACAGATGCGTCTGAATCGCGTCCCCCTCCCCCATTGGCTGAAAAATTCAACCGTGGGCGGAATTGTCTCGGGATTCGTGGCCGGGCATCAAAGCGGGTCCACCCCCTGACGAAAGACTCTCATTTCCCCTGATTCAAACCCCCAGCACAAAAATCAGGCAATACAAGGCCACCTCCAGGCTCCTCTCTCGGCCGGAACCTGGACATCTGGGCCTGTGGCAAATTATGCTTTTCTGATTTGATTGGTTGTGTGGTTCAGTTGGCCACATGGGTTCAACTGAACGTACTCGTAGATTGATACCTGCCTGCGAGAGGCTGGGGTTGTACACCCGTGCAGGTTGAACCGTTGAACCGTCCGTTGAACCGTCCGTTGAACCGTTGAACCCCTTCGGCCGGGTGGGGGCTTCATGCATCTTTCACGGCTATGCTCTGTAGCTGCAATACTTACTTCGTACATAGGAGTCAGGTGGTGCTTGGCTAAGGTGTACTGTACTTGGGTATTTGTGCTGTGCAGATGACATTAATCAAGTGTGGTGGGTGCTTGGCAATCGGCACCGCCAGTAGGCGCGGGATGTGTATTCCGCCAGAGGTACCCGCAAGTACCCCGAGGCATACGAACTACAGCCATGACTGCAGACATTGTCAACATTGCTTGTCTGGTGTCACACTCGACTAAATATCCAGAAGTATCTCGGACAATAAGACATAGTCAAGCAAGAAGGCCTGGAGATGCAGTGCAGTCCTCGCCTATATTGCACTTACGGCATTTGAAGCGCAGAAGCATGGAACAGTGCTGTACGACAATATATCTCATGGAGATAGGTGAACGTACCTGCACCAACCCTGCACTTCACGTTCGAATAGCAGGAATCTCATTTCCCAACAGGAAGTGTGCTTGTACCCTCTCCAGCTCGATTCAAAGTCCCCGGAACGTATTATGTAAACATGAAAGAATGATGGGGGGACGAGCAGGCGGAGCAGGAACACCGGGTGACTCAATGAGCCTTGCGAATAAGTTAGCACCCGCAACCTACTCCGTGAGGTCGTGTACGAGATCGTCAGTGGAGAGAAAGTGGCGAAACCGCACTTGAATACTGCCTGGCAGAATCATGGCCAACAAGGCCTGCTGAGCCTCTTGCAAACACCAAGGTGTTGGGCACTGGGCCCATCTTACTAGGATTGAAACACCCTCAGATCATTCCTCAAGAGGATGCGGTAGAGGAGCGATCAAGGCGGTAATATCAATGACGGTGGCGAAAAACGACGGACCGAACCAAGTAGTTCCGGATGACAGCAACGAACATCATCCTCATCATCATAATCACGGTCACCAGACTTCAGGACTATGACCATTCAAGAAATTTTCAGTTCCTTAAACACGAGGTTCCTTGCTCGCTGACACTCGATACAACATCTCCCATCTACCCTTGTCCTGCCAAGAAAATCCACCATTTTCCAGACATCGGTGCTGACTACCTATCTCTGAATCGTACGTTGATATCTCTTACCGAAAAAATACTTCAACAACATACTTTCATCGATTTAGCTCAGAAAGAGAACGAAACGTTGAAAAGAAAGGACCCAAAAGATGTATCACGAGTTCAAGCAAGGACCGATCAAGATCACCGTCGGCCACGGACTCGGGGTCGGATACTTCATCAGAGTCGAGGATGAACGCCTAGCGGCGGATGGGGACGAATTTCCCGTATCCAGCTTTATCGACGCGTGCTACAACGTTGATAGCTCGGGGCTGGGCATATACCTGGCGGCTCGTACTGGAAATGAGGGATCTGGGACCCAAGTTAGCATTGAGGCGATGAGGCGACTGTGGGAGCTATACGGGGTGATTGGGGAGACGATACCGCTTATGGAGTTGCTCGACCTAAGGTTGTCTGATACCGTGTAGGCGCCATCAACCATGCGGCCATGTGCATGAGATCGCATGTATGGTATGTTTACGATACGGGTTGAGTCAAAGTATTGTGTCAAGCATGGGCTGTGCATGCCAATTAAATTGCTTTATCAAAGGGAAATTATTTGACGAAGAGAAAAGTATATGCACCGCATACGGTCAGCTCTGCTGTTGTTTGACAGCCATCTCACGCATCCTCAACAACTGCTCATGCGTCCAGCTTAGAAGTAGGAGGTATCGACCCAGCTGGTGTAGTCAGAGCCCAGGATATCCGTGATGGTGAGCTTGGCATCCAGCTTCTCGGCGAAGCTGGCGCGGGTGCCCTCGGAACCGGCGCCGGTGTTGGCGTACTCGCCAAAGGTGACGTACTCGGTGTTAGGGGTGGAGGTGGACCACTCAGTCCAGCCGAGGGAGTTGATGACGTTGGTCATGCTGGTCTGCTGGAAGACGACACGGGCGTACTCGGACCAGGGGCGGCCTGTACCCATGTTAGTATTGTCTCTAAAGTGCGGAGCGCAAGATAGGCAAGTAATCGTACCAAGGTAGTAGGTGCCTTCGGCAACGTCGTCACCCTCCTTAGCAGCAACGGTCGACTTGTTGATCACGTAGTAAGAGGTGTCAGTCTCGGAGGAGCGGCCGTTGGCGGTGATGGAGGCAGAGGTAGGACCCTCAACGACACGGATGTCGACGTTCTGAAACCAGGCACGAGCGTGCTGGCCAAAGATGAAGTCGCTAGCCGGGTTAGTGTTGGCTTCGTCCAAGGACCGGCAATCACTTACACAGCACCCTCGATGTAGGAGTTGATGTAGAGCTGGTTACCGGTCTGAGCGAGGAGGGTATCCTGGTAACCAGTGAAGTTGCAGCCGTAGTAGCCCTGCTGGTCAGCCCAGGCGGACAAGGCCAAAGCCTGGTGGCAAGCCTGACCACAGGTGTTGGCAATGTTGAGGTTGTAGACCTGAGAGCCGACGGCCTTGTTGCGGAAAGTGGCTGTTCTTGTTAGTCACCGATTATCTGTCTGTTCCAGTGAAACTTACCAGTCAGATCATCGCTCTCACCAGCATCCTCGTAGCTGATGGCGTGGGTAATGGTGACCAGGTTGTCGGCGTAGGAGTCGGTGCTAAAACAATTATCAGCACGATGCTAATCAGAGGCGGCAACCCAACGTACTTCTCGGTTTGACCGTAGATGATGACCTTGCCAGTCATAGCAGGAAGGTAGACCTGCTCATCGTAGGTACCCTCCTCGATGAAAATGGTTTGGGTGTCGGTGGTGCTGGTGCTCAGAGCATCAATGGCATCACCAATCTAAGCGGATGTCAGTATGGTGCCTTGTACATAGCTCATGCGGACATCCTCACAGTGGTATAGTCACCACCAGACTTGGCGACGACGATCGCGCCGGAGGGAGCCGTGGTACGGCTGGCAGCCAGTGCGGACACGGCGAAAAGAGCGGAAGCCAAGACTGATTTAACCATTTTTGCGATTGATATGAGTGTATGATCGACTGGATCGGCGAGGTAAGGTTGAATGCAGAGAGACGAAAGACCTTTTATACGTTGCGTTCAGCAGCCTGCTTGCTTGTCTGAGTGCGCCATTTCCCTCTTAGGTCGGTATTTGTCTCATATCCGCCAGGAGACTGGGGTGGGGTTTGCAGTGGGATATCTGCAGACCCCAGTTGAGTAAAGATAACTATATCTGAAATCACTAGGAAGGTTCAGGCAAGTCGACCGGCGGCTAGAGTGCGGTGGAGGCGTTCGAGGAAGCTTCTACATAGTAATGCTTCTCAAGGCTAGTGGATCCTATCACCGCCCAGTCTTCTCCGTTCCCGGTGGGTGCTTCATTTAAATTGGTGCAATCATAGCAATCCCTGTCTCTGATTAATATCAACGTTTAACCTCCAATGATTAAGCTTAATGACAACCACGACGCGGGCATGGATAGTCGATGGGTCAATAGTACAAGGTGTGGTGAATTGGAGGGCCGACCCACTCCAGATCCGAAACAGGAGAGCTTTAGGGCTGCTCACAAACGCCGATCCCCGACGGTCGGCTTGTGGGGGCATCCAGGGGTGGCTCTAACAGTGTAACAGGGTCTTTTTTGGAACAGAAACAGGTTCATAACTCGACCTCCTTTGTGAACGCATGCCCAGAGTGATCGATATCACACTGAATTAATCCAGTGCTCCCAAGATCCAAGGCTGTTGCACATGGCGAATTCGGACAATGTCCGTGTCAAAGCGCCGAATCTGCCCCTGTCCATGTTCGCACCCCCCTGAAACAAAAAGGAAGTTCTTGAATTTCCTGATTGGCGGGATTCCGGAATCAAGCACCGGAAATCTCGTGCAAGCTGCGCATGGGCCGTGGCTGCAGAACACCACTTCCGCAACATGGCACACCTTGGACACTTTTTCCACGAGTACCTTCATGGGAACACCGGCAGAGAGTTTGATTCATCGGGGGATGAAGTTTGAGTTCTGGTCAAGCATCAGGCGTTGACGCGCCTCCCCGGGCTACCCCTCTCGCCTGAACCAATCCTGTATCAGTCGCGATTTCCCACGTTTCTTGGCATCGTCGGCATATTGAGACCGTGTCCCGGAAAGGATTCTGCATTTCATATCACGCATATTGCACCTATGGGTCTTTCGGATCGGACAGCAATAAACCCAGAGCAGCTATCCTCGGTGGCACCTCCTGATTCTCATTTGTGCGATATTGGATGGATGGCATGGCCATTTTCGGCGCCAATGCTCCGATACCCTGATAATATGTGCGGGGTTTAATATGAGCTGACGTATATCCGAGAGAGCGAACACGACGGATGATGGATGTCAATCAATGACTGGGCCCGAGCATTCACCTACAATCGATTCTAGGCTTTAGTCACTTGATGATAAGATTTAGTCAGTCTGCAAGAAAGAATACTTACTTGCTGCCAAGCCAGGTCAATTTACGGAGTTTGACAAGCTGACGTGGACATATCCATAGACCCGGCACGAGTCCACCTGCAGAGTCGCACTTGCAAATAGCCCAATAAGAGAAATGTATAAGGGTAGAGAGATGTATAAGGATAGAGAACTCTATCCCTCAGGTTGGGATACAACCATCAAGATAGTAGAAGTACGCCCGTCTGGGGGGTCAAAAGCCATGTAGTTGCAACCTATGGTGCTAAAGGGGATAGGCGCGTCAGATGGGCATGATCTCAGCGGGGCAACAACAGCAGTATCATGCTCGAAGAGAGCTCGCAGAGCTGAGCGAAAGAGGGCCTGTGGATACCTGGAGAGGATCGCGCTCTCAGTTCGGCGGCAGTAGATGAAGGGGTCGAGGTTGTTTACAGAAGTGATGGAAAGGGAAGTCATGTAGACCCGTGACCCACCACATGTCAATCCTACACCTTTGTTGCTCAGGCACTTTCGCCCCAACCATTCAGACCCTCCACGGGATAAATCAGACGATATCAGGAGATATAGTCTCAGCCAAACATTCCGGTACCGTCTTTATCCTTTCCCTCCGAGACATAACTGCTTCTTCGTGCTAATCTTGGGTAGAGGAACAGTGATGCACAATGCCATGCCCGTGATCTTGCCTGAGCATCGAAGCTAAAAGGCAGCAACAGCATTACACCCTATCGATTATTATCCATTCCCGACTGCTCCTCTGACTCGGCGTATTGACTATGTATCTCCTAAATCGCGCCAGAAGATGCAATCGAAGTTCATTGTACTATGAATTCTTTGCCACAATCATCGAACCATGTATGACAGTGACACTGTTCCTGAACTGCTTCGGGCGTTGTAGCATAATGGGGCCAATTGCACACTCTAGAAGACTGAGTGAAAGCACGTAGGAAGCCAGTCTGATCGCTCTGAAATCAATCAAGTTTATCGTACACCTGATGAAAAGAGGACAGGCTTGCATATGCCCGTACTAGTGATATACACTTTCCCCAATAATGAGACTTATGCCAGTCCCGTGCAAATGTAGCAAAGGAAGTCCCTATCTACATACTTCAGTGCTCGAGAGGCCACCAGTCGCAAGGTATATCAAGTACCGTTGACTTGCGCAACACCTCAGTCTACATGCGTCGACCAGCCATGCGTGATATGTCCAGTTGATATTAAGGAAACAAGAAAAGCTTGACCTGTCAGCTTGAATGCCGACGGTACGATCTGTTTCATGTGCGATTGCAGATCGAAGCTTGGCTGGTACATTTGTACAGATGTCCCAAGCGGCACGTACAGAATATCCCGCCCTGGAGCCGGATTGACCTGATGCAGCGGATGGGGTCGCTGCCTCGTTTGTGCCTGAGGCTGAATCTCACAGTGACCGTAGACAGTGATTTTTACACAGTACAATAGAGCCACAGAGAATTCAGGAGCACTGCAACTGATAAGAATACTCGAATACAAACAGTCCAAGGCAAGGATTCCAAGTCAAACTCACACGCAAACAGTTGAGCCAACCAGTCGGAATGATAGAATAATCAAAAATCGCGGTTGAGCGGCAGAATGGGTGAGGCAGCCTCAGCGTTTCCCAGAGCGGTAGAATATCCCAAGGGGGTTAGGTTGGGGCCGACACACCGCGTCTCAACCAGTTGAGTTGCGTGCCTGAGTCACCGACCAGGATCCAAGGCTCACTCCAGCCACAGCAGCCACAGCTCGTCCATGGTATACTTCGATCATCTATATAAACTCAGAAACTACCTTCATTGCCCTCTTACGATCGAAACAATCATAACAGAGCATCAATCATCTACTTCTTCTATCAAACAAGTCACCCAACCACAATGGCCCCACCCACCCCCGAGATAAACTTCTACTTCGACCTCGTCAGCCCATTCAGCTACATCGCATTTCAAGTCCTCAAGGTACAGCACAGCACCGCTCCTTAACCCATAAATAACCACTCAGACCACTAACGCTCACAACCCAGAACTCCACAATCTTCCAATCCTGCAAAATAACCTACACCCCCGTCTCATTACGCACCATCCTCACCACCTGCGGAAACCCCCCACCCATCGCGGTTAAAAGTATATATCTCCCGCCTCAACCAACTCCCAGCATCACGCACCCACCGCAACAACACCAAGCTAACAACAACCACTCCCAGACAAACTAACCTACATCAACCGCCACCGCCTCGCCTGGTCCCGTCGTCTCAACATTCCCATGACCCAAGCCGTGCCGACGGGTTTCCCCTTCCCGACCACAGATATCCAGTCCCTCCTTGCACTCGTTGCTGTGTCCCATCCGGAGAAAGTGGTCGAGATAGTGGAGCGACTGTATACCTCCGTCTGGGCGGACGGTGACTCGGCTATTGTTACGGACTCTGGGAGGTACACGAAGGTTCTCGAAGAGGTGTCGGGCGGCGATGTGGTGGAGGGGCTGCTGGATGGGGTATGTTCTTCCCCTCAAGTCCCTTTCTCCTAGAAGGACCCAAAGCTAGAGGAATAGACAGGATGTATTCTGACTTTCGCAGGAGAAACAAACTGAAGGCAAGACTCTGTTAGAGGCGAATACGCATCGGGCGATTGAGGAGGGGGCTTTCGGATTGCCGTGGCTAGCGTGCACGAGTCCTGCCGGGGAGAAGGAGGGGTTCTGGGGCGTGGATCACTTGGGTCTGGCGGCGGAGTTTCTGGGGTTGGATGTTGGGATGGAGGGTGGGTTCCGGGTTATGATGAAATGACCGAATTTGCTTCTGATATAGACGAGGAGGTCTAGAGTCGCTTTGATTTAAGGGTGTGGTGAACGTGGGGAAGACAGATATAGATTGTGGGTAAATAATGTATAATATGTGGGTCCGCTTGATGGCTGTAGGCTACACTATGAGACTTGATGTCGCTATTTCCGACCCATCTCATTGTCAAGTATGTGAAATGAGGCTGATAGATGCTGCTGGGTTAATTGAGGTCTGATAAGTCCATCACTGTTGTGGGAAACATATTGTGTAGCTGAACGATGGCCGGATGCTTGGAAATACAGGCGAAGACACAAACCCAATTGATCACGAAGATGTACTTCGGTTCTGATACAATGGCGAGATGTAAAAGCACTCGAACAGGACATTTCAATTCAAGAATGCAAGCAATAATTATTCAAACCGCACGATTTGCAGCATAGCACGGCGAGAGAGCTGAAAATTGAATGGTGAGTCTTGTCCACTCTCTTGACGTCCCCGTCATCATAACTTCAAAAGCTGCGGATCACATGACAAGCCCGGGTGGTCTAGTGGTATGATTCTCGCTTAGGGATTCCAAACCCAAGCATATCTGCGAGAGGTCCCGCGTTCGATCCGCGGCTCGGGCCTTGATTTTTTGTGTTGATTTTTCTCTGCCCCTTTTTCATTTTTTACCGAACCTCCACGAAGCTCAAACAGAAGGCAGCTACAAGAAAGAAGGAAGAGGAAACAAAGCGATCAAAAAAGCCCACCATCAATTCCACTATCATTCAAGAAGCTATTGATAAATCCACCATGTCAGTTTGATCCACCTTGCTTCCCTCCTACCAACAATTGCTTCTTCTATCCCCAGAAAAAGGAGTGTGTCAACTAACTACCTACTCTTCCTTTGCACCAGCGCCGGGCGCAAATTTCGCCTGAAGTTGGTTCAAGGCCAGGTCAATCAAACCGCCAACGGTCTTTGCCTTGGAGATCTGCGGCAAGGTGACGTCGAGATTCAAATTGCGCCGCATCCAGCTCCTCATCTCCATCGCGACAAGCGAATCAATCACCATCCCCAGTCGTTGCGTCGCGTCCATGCCCTGAGCCTCGGCCCAGTACGCATCGGCCAACTTGAAGAGTTCCGCAGTGATCAGGTCTTGGGTCTCAACGTGATTCAGGAGCGATGGATCCTTCTCGGCCCGGAGCAACATATCCCGGAGGATGTTGCTCCCGGCTATATTGCCTCCCTGATTCGAACCCCGTTGTTCCACGTGCGAGTAGATGGAGAACATCGCCTCGGGGGACCACAACGTCCGCACGTTCGCGTCTGCCCGGGACCTGCTATTCCCCAGACCGGTGATAACGGGGGCACTCGTTCGCGCCACGCAACCACCGGCGGTAGTCGTTGAATCAGCAGGGGAATGCGATTCCAGGATCGCTTGCTGGAAACTCTCAAGAACTTGCCCCTCGTCTAATAACCAGATTCCCGCTGTGTGCATGGCTTGCATGCTGGTGGGCGACTGATTGATGAGCCCGATTCCGTCCACAGCGCCGAGATCCAGGACGGAAGACGGAAGGCCCTGCTGGCGTCGATATTGAGTAAACGCGTCGAGAAACGTATTGGCCGCGGCATAGTTGGCTTGCCCAGCATTTCCACAGATACCCACGCCGGAGCCAAAGGCCACGAAGAAGTCAAGACTCTCCTTTGACGTTGCGTGATGCAGGTTCCAGGTGCCGGTGACCTTTGGTGCCACCGCAGCCTGCCAATCCTCGAACGACATCTTTGCAATCGCACAATCTCGTAAACACCCTGCCATTTGTATCACGCCCTTCAAGGGCATAGGGCAACTTTTCATGGCTGTCGTGATGTCGTCGGGCTCTAGAACGTCCCCGGAGATGCATTCCACGACGCAGCCCATAGCCTGGAGCTCTGCGGCAAAGGTTTGATTGCTTGGAGATTGCACTGACCGAGAAAGGAAGATGAGACTCCGTGCCCCTTGTTCCACCATCCAGGTCGAAACGATACGACCCAAGCCCCCGAGCCCACCTACCAAGAGATACGATGCATCCCGCTGAAAGGTTATCGAGTGTTTCGAGGCCTCAGTAGGCAGCGCAGCTTTGTCCTCAGGAATGCGGAGGAGAATCTTGCCAATGTGGGTCCCCTTCTGAAGGAAACGGAACGCATCTGCTGCTTGATACCCGTCAAAGACGGTGCGAGGTTGGATTGGGGATACTTTGCCTTCCTCGAACCAAGTTTTCAAGGTTGTTGCCAGACTGCGCTCCTGTTAGCATGGTTGTACTGGCCTTAGCCCGTCAAGAGACACCTACCGCTGAAGCAAAGTCGTATCCAAGTCCATTGCCTGAGACAAATCCACGCCGCAGAACGTACGGTTATCCCTAAATCCCCGCATTCCCAGCTGGCCATTTGTCAATATATCCCGTTTCCCAAGTTCGATCATCTTGCCAAAAGGTGCCACACAATCCCAAGAGGCATGTAACAAGGGCCCAGCCAGTGAGTTCAATACTAGATCAGCTCCAAGTCCATTAGTCGCCTCCATCAGGGATGCATGAAACGTGTCACTTCTGGAGTCGAAGATCCTCGCGCGAGGAATGCCATAGTTATTGATAAGGAAGTCAACTTTCTCTTGATTGCCGACAGTGGCGTATATCTGAAATCCTTGTCAGATTGATTCTCCGGGTAATGGAAAGACTGTATTGACTGACCTCAGCTCCGATTATCTTACAGACCTGGATCGCTGCGAGTCCCACTCCACCGCAAGCGGAGTGGATCAGTACAGACTGCCATGCACATACAGCGTTATCCAAGGCTTGAGAATCAGAGGTGGAGGGAGACTTACCTGGCCCTGCTTCAGATTTCCGACATGAATCAGGGAGTATATGACCGTTCCGTACACTGACAGCATGGCCGCGGCTTCCTCCATCTCCATCCCTCGCGGCAGCTTCATGCACCATCGCTCCTCGGCTATTACTCGAGTACCCATAAGTCCAATGCCTACTACAACAACTTCATCGCCCACTTGAAAATTTGTGACTTGGCTGCCCACCTGCCGCACCAGCCCACTACCTTCTAGCCCTAGCTCATCTTTGGTGCCCACGACCCCCATACAAACCATGAGGTCCTGGTAAATATGAAAGTATTAGCTGCGAAGGTATGAAGGACTTTATGCAGTACGAGAGAGGTCAGGAGACATACCCTGAAGTTGAGTCCAATGTACTGCATCTCGATTTCGACCTGCGTGGCCCCCAGTGTGTCGACATCAGTGTTGTGCCATGTTAAAGTATTCAAGAGGCCTAGGGTATTGATGGTCAAGTTCTTTCCCTGGTCTGGCGAGGCGATGATCTCTGCATGGTCATTATCGTCGTTAGTGTCGCTGTTGCGTCCCCACCACACTCTCGGAACATGGACTGAGCCCTCGCAAATGGCAAACTCAAAATCGGGTTCTTGCTGTTGCTGATATTCCGAGCTGTAGACCGTTTGGATGATAGCCGCAAAGTGCTTGGCTGCTTCGAGGTTGAAATGCTCCACTTCCACCGAATAGAAGTGACCTTCCACCTCTTTCCTCAAAGTTCGCGCAAATCCCAAAGCCAGTCCGTAGTTGGGGTTGATACAGGCTAGCTGACAAAGCGCGGTCACCCAGAAGATACGGCATCTCCCAGCAGCCAAGATACGTGTCTTCAAAGTCTCGAATTCCCTGGCGCTCATTGCATGCAAGAAAGGAACAACTAGATCGAGCAGGAAGATAACACAGGACTCCCCGGGATAGAAGGGATCATCCAGCGGAATTACATCCACCTTGTAGTCCAATGAAACCAGCTCTGCTCGGAAGGCCTGGACCCATTCATGTCCCGGCTCGGGACAGACAAGTATAATGCTTCTCTCACCAAAGCTGACACTGTCTTCACTGACTTCCCGCGATACGCGCGAAATCATCGTGGAGCAGAATTGGAATGGGGGCTCGACATCATTCGCCAGTGCCTCCACGCCGACGAACCCCGCGGAGCGCAATTCTTTATCCCACCTCTCTGGACTCACGTAGGGTGCTTCGGCTCGCCCGTCCTGTTCCCCGAGCCACCAGCCGGGTAAAGTTCCCTAGACATGAAACAAAATTCAGTGTTCGGAACGGAAACAGAGATTAAAAACGGAAACGACCCAGGACAAAGAGAGGGAGAACAGACCATAATAAAGTCGATACTTGAAATATCTACCCCGTATATTAGTGACAGAACTCACCTCAACTACATAGGTTATGGATATGTAAGTGTGAGCCTTACTTGGATGAAGTTCATGAAGCAGTAGCCGGCCTCCTGGCGCCAGAAGCTGACGTATATTTTCCAAAGTTGCCTTGAGTGATGGCGTGGCATGGATAACCTAGCAGAAGATCAACGCCAGTGAAAGTAGTCAGTCTATCAAATCAACATACGTTGGATGCAATAACAAGATCATAATCCCCGGAACTGAATCCTTGGTATGATGGACAAAGGCTTATATCAAGAACCTTGTATTCCATATTTTGACGTTCATGAAAGCGCTCCTGCGCTAAAGACATGAAACCCGAGGATATGTCGGTAAAGGTGTACCTTTTATACATGGGCAAACCACTCCGATTTAACGAGGATAAAGCTCTCTCTGTTGCGCTTCCGGTCCCAGCACCCACCTCGAGAATGCGTATGTTGGGGTTTGAATGACAGAGTAGTGTAAGAAAGGTAGACCAGTCACTCAGGTGCATTTCTTGGTCATAAAGTCGGCGAAGACGATCATCCTCCATAAGAAGATTGATCGGTGAGACACTTCCGTCAAAGATCTCGAGGCAATTCTGCCAGATGATCTTGACACAGTCTGCGACGGGTGAACAAAGCTCACGGCCTTCTAATTCAGCTTTAAGGAGCTGGATTAACTGTCGCCTCTCAGATGAGGCCATGTGCGCCCAGCTAGTCGAGTTGAACAAAAGCTGATCCTGACCCCGACGGGCTTTGGCTGCCTGAGTTTGAACCCAGTTCTTCCATTTTTGTAAGTGCTTGTCGCGGGGGTTAATCTCTCGAATCTCTTCTGCTGTCTCTAAAAGGCATAGTAGCCCATGCTGCTCGCATTTTCTGACAGAATCAACTGAAACTGTTGTAGATTTCGGGGAAGAAAAAAGGCTGTATGGTGGCTTGAAATCGAGATGAGGCTGCCAATTCAAATGAGAAATGAGGGGAACACGAGTTGAATGCCGATCTTCATTGTCATCAAGGGCAACAAGTACCACTCCCGTGACTGACATAACTATTCGTCCGTGGTCTATGGCGGTTACATTTGCCGTTAGATGGCTGGATTTGCCCGTAATGCAAACCTCTGCAAGGAGGCTGTTTGCTCCATTGCTGACGAAAACATTTTCCACCGACGCGGGAATGCAGCATCTGTCTACTCTGTGCGCTAAGCCAGAAGTGGCAGCAACTCCTATGAGCTGCAAACACTGATCCATCACGGTGGGATGTAATTCGTACTGACTCCTACCGGGCTGGATCATGCTCGAGACCGTGGCCACCGCTCGGCCTCCGCATGCATCGGCGGTGATCTCTCGAAGCCCACGGAATGAAGCACCATAAGTCAGTCCATACTTTGCCATTGTCTGGTACCACTTCGAAGACGAGGCATGGCGGATGAGAGGAGTTATCGATCTTGCCATATCCCCAGGAAGACCAGCTTCCTTGAGATGGTGACGAACAAGCCCCGTACAGTGCTTGGTCCATGAATTCCCGTCATAGGAACTGATGGCAAATATATGCCAGTCCGAATCCTGAAGGTCGTTAAGTCGCTCTGGCCGTAAGCTGGTGATGATTTCCACCCCATCAAGGGAGTCCTCCAGGACCAAGGGAGCGCGGAAAATCACGTCCCGCAAAGAATATGGAACAGAAGACTCAAAGGATAGCTGCCGGACCGCCTCTCCGACCATTGCAATGTATCCTGCGCCCGGGAAAACTACTTGTCCCTGGATGACGTGCTCCGCCAACCATGGTACGGCATCAAGATGAAGCACGTTTCTCCAGGTTGGAGTGGTGTCAGTAGCTTCAGTACATCGGTAGCCTAGTAGCTCGTGGTATGTGGCACAGAGTCGCCAGTCTCGTGCCAGACGACTTTCGCTCCAATGCCGCACACCATGCTGCCAGGGATAAGGGGCGAGATCCGGTAGAACCTGGCCCGGCGTGATGACCTTGCACAAGGAAGCCGCCCCGCCGCGACTGAAGACGCCGCCAACCACCGATAAAAGACGTTCTTGACAGTCTGTGTCATCTCGAATGAGTGTGGGAATGTACGATGGGCTATACTTGGCTTTGTGGTTCTGGAAAATCTGCTTGAGGGGGCCGGAAAGGGCAGCATGGGGACCGACTTCGACGAGAATTAGATCGGCATTACTTGCATCAAGCATATTTTTCACAGCGCCGTGGAACTGAACAGGAGACTCCAGATTGGCGCGCCAGTAGGCTGCATCAAGTGTGCTAGGTTTGCAAATCACCTCTTTGGTAAGGGTGGAAAACATGGGAAGCATTTGGGCATTGAGCTCCAGACAGCGAGCCACAGATTTTTCATATTCATGGCCGACTCTTTTGATGGTGGCTGAATTGGTCAGAGTGAAAAACGACGACCAGAAGACATCAGAATCTGTACTCACCTGAGTGATAAGCAACATTAAGACGAAGACGGCGACAGAATGTGTCCGGCGCGATTTCGCGAAGGGTTGCTGCAAATTGGTCAATTTTCGCGGACGGTCCTGCTACCGTCACGCTCTGCGGACTGTTATCACAGGCAATCTCCACCCCTTCTATGAGATATGGCCTCACTTGGTCTCGACCCATACCTACAGCAGCCATCTCACCTCTTTCGTCTTGGGGCACCGTGAGAACAGCTTGACCGCGCAGATACGCCAGTAAGATAGCCGAAGATGCAGGGACTGCCCCTGCCGCATATGCAGCCGCAATCTCGCCACTGGAGTGCCCAACCACCACCGTGGGTCTGATGCTCCAGGATGAAAGAAGATTGATCAGACCAATCTGCAATGCCGTGCACAGAGGCTGACTTATGTCCGGTTTGCTCATTTGGTCAGGGTCGTAGGTCTCAAATAGATCTGGTGCTCTTCGCGTAAGTCACAGGTTTCTAAAAAGCAGAAAGTGGAAAATGCGGGAGACTACCTTCCAAGCACCAATCAGGTGGCCGATTAGAGAATTTTCTAAGCACTTCATCTAGATACTTTATGTCCTGTCGGAAGGTAGGATATTTCCGTAGTAGGTCTCTTCCCATACCAAGCCAGTGGGCTCCCTGTCCGGTTAGGACGAAAGCGATACGGGAAGAAGTTGTAGAGTGCAAAGAAACAAAATCGGACTTTTCTACTGGGCGGTCTGGTTGAATTACGGCAAAGGCTCGATGGGCCAAATGCTTGCGTCGGAGGCCTAGTGTATAGGCAAGGTCGGTGATGCGGCGGGGGTGTAAATCCAGGTAGAAGACTATCTGCTCAATGCGCTTCTGCAAACTGTCTCGGTCATGAGCAGAAACGATCAATAAATGGGAAGAGTCGTTCTCGCCGGGATTAGGCTGCGGAAGATTGACTTTTATAGGCTTGTCTGCTGATTCCAGGATGATATGTGCGTTGGCGCCCCCAACCCCAAATCCGTTGACACTGGCACGAAGGTGTCGGTCACGAGGCCACTCAACCGCCTCGACGGGAACTTGAATGCCCTGCTTTTGAAAATCAATGTTGGGATTCGGGCTGACAAAATGCAGATTTGGCGGAATGGTGCGATGTTCCAGAGATAAGATCGCCTTGATCACACTGGTGATCCCAGAAGCGCCCTCCGAGTGACCAAAATTAGGTTTGACCTGCATAAACATTAGCGTATTCTGTCAATGATACTCACAATTGAAGATCTTACAGCCCCAACTATGGCTCCTTTGCCTTCCAGAACCTTACATAAGGCTGACAGCTCCGCTGTATCTCCTGCCATAGTTCCGGTCCCATGACACTCAAAGTACCCCGTGCTCGTGATGTCTGCGATGCCTGCTCGATGGTAGGCACTGCGAATGAGGCGTTCTTGAGAGCCTGGGGAAGGGGTGGTTATCAGACCCGATCTACCATCACAATTGGAAGATGTTGAGCGGATGAGTGCTCGAATTCTATCTTTACAGCGCAATGCGTCACCCAATCGCTTCATGTATAAAACATTGATGCCCTCTCCCCGGCCATAGCCATCAGCATCGGCATCAAATGTGCGACAGGTCCCACTGGCTGATAGCACCATGCTATCAGACATGGTGGTTGTTGTGGTGGGAGCCAGTATTAGACTGGTGCCCGCCACAATGGCTGCATTGCAGGATCCAGTATGTAATGCCTGACAGGCTTCGTGAATTGCAACGAGCGAAGAAGAACACCCCGTCTGGATGGTCATACTATTAGAAACGTCAATTGATCTGTACCACATATATGGATGGATATTTGACTTGCCTGGGCCCACAAAAGTCAAAGTAGTATGAGGTATGATTCGCCAACGCGAAGGCTCCGGTCCCGAGAACATGGTAGCGATTGGTATGTTGGTGGTCCTTGGATGCAAGGCCAAGCCAATCCTCACCAAAAGTACCAACAAAGCAGCCGACATCCTTTCCTTCCCAGTCGGTTTCTCCAGCATTTTCTAGACATTCCCAAACCACCTCGAACAGCAACCGCTGCTGAGGATCCATTCGGGAAGCCTCCTTAGGAGTTAAAGAGAAGAAAGGAGCGTCAAACAGGGCTGGGTCTTCCGTTAGGAAGTACCCATGTCGGGTTTTGCTGACATGAGGCCGCGTTGGATCATAGAAACCGTTTATGTCATATCGAGTCCGAGGTACCTCGCCACGAGCGTCGCGTTTATTCATGATAAATTCCCAGAACGACTCTGCTGTGCGAACATCCCCAGGAAGCCTCATCGCCATACCCACCACTGCAATAGCAGAAAGCGTGTCGGGAAAGCTTGCCGCGTGGGCTTCGTTCGCCACGGAAGTAGGCGTAGGGTGGGTCGTCTGCGATAGACTATCATCCTGGCCAAGTGCCCTCTTTTCGGTGTCTGAAAGGTACATTGTAGACGATGTCGATGGCAATCAACTGCCCGGGTCGACCAAATCGCACCTCGTTCATACATAGTAAGGAGCATGGGTGTGGCCAGATTAAATGCAAGACAGAGTGCCAAAGCCTCAGGATAGATTCAGCAGGCACGTGTGTTACACCTTTCCCGTTTCGGCTGTATGACTTTCAGACGGAACGGGAGGGACTCGGCTTCGGGGCATTTCGGCTTGTACACCTACGACTTCATGTTGCGCAGTGAGGCAGCTCCCGCTGAGGTATCACCTTGTCCTCTCGCTACGCATCGAGTATTTTATCCCAGAACTCTCATTGCGTTTCCTCTCTCGGCGGCAGAACCCTCAACCCATTGTCATTAATCCCGCGCACCATGGACCGTCTCAATCACCCAGAGGATTGGTACAAAGAGCAAGTCGTATTCTTACTAGGTGGAACCGGTACCCTTGGTGGCTGTCTTCTGTATAAGTTAGCTGTGAAGCTACCAACCAAAAAGATCTTCGTTCTTTGTCGCGGGAATATCCAGCGCGCGCTGGACAAGATCGAGAAATCTATGCCCGAACAGTCGGTCGATATTCTTACCACTCACAAGGTCCACTTCGTTGTGGGCGATGTCACAAAGCCCAACCTTGCGCTTCGGGCGGCCGAGTTGGATACGCTGCGCGCGGAGGTGACGGTAGTCATCCACTGTGCTGCAAATATCTCCTTGCAGCAGGAGCTGCGAGCATCGGTAACTCAGCACTGCGTCTCGCAGCTCCAACTCCTTGACCTGTTGTCCGACTTCGTGCGGCTGCAAACCCTGCTCTACCTTTCCACCACCTATGTAAACAGCTTCCTGCCTGGCGGTCGGGTTGGCGAAAAGATCCACGAGCTCTCGTCCGACCCGGATCAGCCTGTTCTGGATGCTACCAAAGAAGTTCAATCTATCCTCGAGGCTGGCGAATCCACATATGCTTCCCAGTTCATGGTGCCCTACGCTTATGCCAAATATCTCACCGAGCGGCTGACGCTGGACCGCAAACCACGGTATACCGTTCTCATCGTACGCCCCTCCCATTTCGGCCCCGCGATTGCGGAACCGTTCCCATATTACGGCTTCAACATGGCCATCCCAATGCACTCGTATCTGCGTTTTCTACTCGGCAGTGACGAGCACGGCCTTGAACAGATCATTGAGCAGACCAGAGACGTCCAATTTACCTGGGACGAGATCCCGGTAGATCAGGCCTCCAATACATGCCTCCTGCACTTGGCGCTTGGAACTCAAGGGATTGTGCACGCAGCGGCGGCGCTCTACGTTACGTACAGCATGGCCGACATAGTACACATGTTTAGTGCTCATGTTCCCCCGGCAGCCCATGCGGCAGTCTGCAATTACGCGAGTGAGCAAGCACCGAGCCATGCGGAGTTCTTCTTCCAGTTGATCACGACCTTTCCGCGCGATTGGATCTATGATTGTAGCCGCTCCGAGGGACTGCAGCATTTCCAAGGTCCCTTGAGCTTGGGTCTAGGGGAGCATGACCCCGAGAGGTTTATGCAGGTCCGAGTGCAACGGGTGACTCGGCAGTTTCTGGAAACATTGAAGACTGCACAAGGATCAAGAAAGACTTGATCATAAGACAGGGGTGAAGCACCAGGATGACTTGCTATGATACCGCAAGTCAGTCGGACAATCGAATCCTCCCAACTCGTCATAAGCACTCCCACCTTTTTGCAATTCAAGGCAAAACAGACAATGTTGAGAGAAAAGGGCAACGGGGCCAGGGAAAGTTACGTCAAGGATACTCAGTACCTTCAACGCTTGTGCAGAGGAAGTAGTGACTATGTTATAGTAGTCTAGTGATGCCAATGCATAGAACCCTTCTCGCAGTGTCTTCGCTGCATATTATTGCATGTAGTCATTGACAGACCCCACCAGCCAGAAGCTCCGCATAGCCAAAAGCCCTTATCTCTCTCTGTGTGACTATATATGAACCTCTTCTAACTCCCGACACCGAGAGAAGACCGCACCTGAGATATAAGAATGTATGATCGCAAAAGCAAGTTTAACAGTGCTACAAGTCAAGCAAGCATAACGCGGGATCACATTTGTCAATCTGTTAACGTCTAACCACACAGCAATACCACAAAGAAGAAAGCAAAGCCCTCGGTCGCCAGTGAAACCAGCCACCAACGACTGCAAGGTCAATCACCACAGGAAAGGACTCAAATCTTCTCTTTCTCTTCAGGTTCATGTCGGGACCTGAGATGCCCCAGACACAAAGTGGCCAAGCCCCCGATCGTCGCCGCCTTCGCGATCTCCACCAGAGTGAGATCCAGCGACATTACGCGTTTCGCCCACGCCCTAATCTCAATCGCTACGAGAGAGTCGATCTGAATCTCCTCGCATTGCTCTTCGGTCAACTCACCCTCCTTGGCGAGATGCGGCATGATCATCTTGCCCACCTCGATCACAATGAGGCCCCGGATTCGGGCATCATTGACCAGGGCGGGATCCCTTTCGATGCTGTCCAGGAGCATTTTCAGCTCATTGTTCTCCATTTCGTGGCGCGACCCTTTCAAATCCATGTTAGAGTAGAGGGCAAAACGACAGTCTCCGCGGCGCCAACTCGGCCGACTTGTTGGATCATCGAGGGGCCTGGTGTTCCCAAGGCCGACGATGGCCGGGTTGGTGATCCTTGGGCCCTGGTAGTCGTCGTGCATGGAATATCCGGGAATGGGCGGTTGCAGAATGGCCAGCTCAACCCCTTGAAGGAATTCCCGCTCATTCAGCAGCCGCGCCGCATGTCGGCGCAGAGTGTAGCGCAGCTTCGGGTTTCTGCTGATTGTTCCCACATCTTCTACCGGGCCGAGATCGAGGATAGACGATTTCAGGCCGAGCTGGCGACGGTGCTGGGTGAAGGCGGCCAGGAATGAGTTAGCAGCAGCATAATTTGCCTGCCCCGGGAAGCCGCTGATCGCGGAAACAGAACTGAAAAGAATGAAAAAATCGAGATTATGACTCTGCACGGCATGATGTAAGTTCCAGGCCCCTTGGACCTTCGGGTCTAGACACGTTGTCCAATCGTCATAGCTCATATTGAGGTAGCTTTGGTCCTAGAAAGAGGAGTCAGTATCGATAAGCTGTAGACTCTGGGAGCCATCTTACTCGCAAGACCATGGACAAGAGCATGACACCGGCTAGGGGCTTCGTGCACCTGGCAATGGCCTCTTGTACATCCTCAAGCACTGTCGCACTTCCGACCACGAAGATAGCTTCACAGCCTTGTGATTTAAGCTCTTCTCTGAAAAGTTGATCGCTCTCGGACTGACCGGCCGAGCGTGAAAGGTAAACTATTTCGCTAGCACCTCGCTCTGCCATCCAGCTTGAAACAGAGCGACCAAGTCCACCAAGTCCTCCCACCAGCAAGTATGAGGACGAGGTCGAGAACCGATAGGATAGTACAGACGGTGTGGATGGTAATTCTTGCGCAGAATCGGGCATTCTGACCAAGATTTTGCCTATATGAGTTCCCGTCTGTAGGTACCTGAATGCACTCGAGACTTCCGCAGCCTCAAAGACCTTGATAGGATGAATAGGCTTGATTTTGCCTTCAACATACCAGACCTTGAACTGCTCTGTTAACCTATAGAGTCGCCATGTTATCAAGTGTGGTGGTAGAAGAGCCTTTGAGGTCACTCACCACTCCCACGTACCGGAATCTTCTTCAGCAAGCCCAATCATGTCTACACCGATAAACGCACGGTTCGAATGAAATGGAGCCATGTCAAGGATGCCATTGGTCAAGAAGTCTCTCTTCCCCAGCTCAATCATCTTGCCGAACGGAGCGACACATTTCCACGAAGCATGAAGGAGTTTGCCTGCGAGCGAGTTGAGCACGATATCAACGCCCCGTCCATTTGTCTCACGCATCAGATCGGCTACAAACGATTCGTCCCGCGAGTTAAAAATGTCCGTCCTGCTCATTCCAAAATGATCGATCAAATACTGAACCTTTTCATCGTTTCCGACCGTAGCATAGACCTAGCCATACTGTTAGTTTTTTCCCTCTTGACCAATGCCCAGTCTAACCTTTGCGCCAACAGCTCGACAGGCATGGATTGCGGCTTGTCCAACGCCCCCACATGCTGAGTGAATTAATACAGTCTAGAAAGGTTAACGTGATGTCGTGTGTGATTATCCATAGTTAGAAGTACCTGGTTTGCCTGCAGAGCCCCGACTCGAAGGAAGGAGTATAGTACCGTGGCGTAAACCGAAAACATGGTGGATGCATCTTCCATTCCTAGCTCGTCCGGAAGCTTAAGGCAATAACGTTGGTTGGCCACAGTTTTCGTCGTGAAAAGACCATTCTGGGTGAAGACGACTCTGTCACCGGGCTGGAACTCGAGGACTTGTGATCCTGTCCTGCAGACAACACCAGTTGCTTCAAATCCTAGACTACTCCGGTCACCAACTAAACCCATAGCTACCATAAGGTCCTAGATCACTGGTGAGCAGGCGACACCAAAGAGCCCATACTGAGAACATCTTACTCTGAAGTTCAACCCCACGTAGCGAACATCAATCTCTAGTTCATCTTGTTCTACCGGTAGGTGTGCCGTATCGCACCAACGCAGGGTATCCAGGAGACCGTATGCAGCGATATCAAGCTTTTTGCACGGGGTCTCGCTTTTTTCTGCTCGAGGTGTCGATCTGTCATATGAAGGCCAATGACACCGACTGACATACACGTTACCCTCATGGAGAACATATTCCTGGTCGATTTCCGCACTAGAGAACTGCTGCGCTTGTTGCATCTTTTCGATCAAACGAAGAATGGCGGAGTATACCCCGGTATCAAAACCGTCAATCTCCAGTACTGTGAATCGTACATCAAGCTCCTGTCGTATCGTCCGGGTGAACCCGTGTATAGGACCAAACCGAGGATCCGGACAGCTCAAGTGCGATGGATGTGTAAGCCAGAGTATCGCGCCTCCAACTATGGTTCGAAGGAAATGTTGTAATGACTCAAAAGTCTTCTCTGTGAGGTCATAGAAGAAAGGCTCATCGAAGTCTAGGAGAGAAACAATGAGAGCGCCGCTGGGATGTTCTTCTCTCATTATTCCAGATGTCACAGAATAGCCACTCTCCACAAGTGATGTACTCAAGCCCTGCATCCAGATGCTCTGAGTTCCACTGTATACTATGTGCACAGATCCTCGTCGTTTCACTTTGCATTCAATTGGCCTGGATAACATAGTGAAATTCGTCTGGAGTGGACGATCGTTGTCGTAGACCGCAGTCTCATTTCCAGTAAATCCCGCTTGCTTGAGCTCTTCATCCCACCTCTCCGGCGGTACGTATGGTCGGTTTCGCCTGTCTGTTTCTTCTCCAAGCCACCAGCCTGGAAGGACACCCTAAATGATGGACAAGCCTCAGCAAAAATAGTTCAATACGGCACCTAAAACAAACTCAGCGACTATGGACACGTACCATCAAAAAGTCTGTAATCCACAGTTCTTTCCTAAAGGTTAGTATGTGTCTGACGAACAAGAAGCTGACCAATTGTCTTACCGGGATTGAGTTCATGTAGCAATAGACGCCCATCAGGACGCAGGAGATCATGAACATGTTTCAAGGAACATTGGAGACTAGGGGTTATATGCACAGCCTGTCGAGACGTTGAATCATGAGAAATGGGAGTTGAGACGGACGAGTCAAGGTTTTTAAGGGAAGACAAACAGACATTGGATGCAATAACTAAGTCAAAGGTATGTAGCTCAAATCCTTGTTCGCCGGGTGGCAGGTTAATATCGAGGGTCTTGAATTCCAGGCCACTGCAGTCCTTGAACTTTTCCACGGCAGGGGCAAAAAAGCCAGGTGTAATATCCGTGAACGTGTAGGACGAGTATAGTCTAACTCCATCCTCTGTCTGGAGGGACTTCAGGACTTCAGATGTAGCACATCCTGTTCCTGCACCAATCTCGATAATCCTGATTCCTGGCTTCGTAGTGCCCAGCAAATACAGAAGGTCTTTCATTTGCTGTGGGCGTGTGACAGCATAGTATCTCTCAAGCATCTTGTCCTTAAGAAAGACCTCGAGAGGAGAAGCTGTGCCGAGCAAAAATTGGGCACAGTTTTCATAGACATTTTGAAGCACAGTGAGAATGACAGCGAATTCTTCCTGTATGGGTTGAATATCGTCGAGCACCTCGGAAATGAGGTCGTTCCTCTCATCGATCCCAACAGATACCCAGTTCCGTGATTCTGGGAAGAAACACTCTTTTCCCTCTGCAACAATGCGAGCCTGGTTCATAATATATGCTTTCCATTTCCTCATGTGGTCAGAACGGGGCTCGACTGATATGACAACGTTCGCACAATTGAGAATGTGAAGAATGGCAATCTTGCTCAATGCTTGTATCGCCCTGTTTGCTTTAGGATTGGAATACATTGGAGCTCGTGGAATGAGAAGCTTATCTGAAGGCACAAAATCAATATCCTTCGTCCAGACCATTTGCGCGACCAATGGAACAACAGGGTCTCCATAGGAGACCTCATCGTCGAGGGAAAAGAAGAAGACATTGCGCAGCGACAGACTCACACACCGATCCGTTGATAGGGTTGCATTTCCAAGTCGCTTCTCAGGGGCATCAGAGGAGGCTGCCGCCTGTACATTCATCTCTTTTCCCCCATAGGTGATGTATATCTCTTCTATAGAGGCTGGAATAGCTAGTCCGGTCAAGCAACGCATGAGACCGTTTGACTGGGCGACGCTTAAGAGTTGTAAACATTGATCGATCGCGATTGGATGTACGAAATATTTGCTATCATGCTCTGATGCATCGTCGACAATCGAAGCGGTCGCAGTGGGCGCAGTTGTATTTGCAGATATGTTCTTTAGACCTCGGAATCGGGGACCATAAGCAAGTCCTTTCCTATTCAAAGCTTCGTACCAGGTTTCCGGGTTGATAGCACGAAGGTAAGTCTCCGATGTCCCATCAATTTGGCGTCTACGGGATTCTGGCCTAACTTGCCCTTGACAATGTTTAGTCCACGAATTGCCGTCGTGAACGATGATGGAAACCGAGTACCACTCTGAGTCTTCCATGTCATTGTATCTGATGGGCTTAAGGCCGGTAATGACTTCGAAGGATTTGTTCTCTTCCAATATCCATGGAGCCTTGAGCATGAGGTTCTTCATGACGAAACCTTCTGTGGACGGAAAGAGTTGCCGTATGGCTTCTCCTGCCATGGCGATATACCCCGCCGCAGGAAATACCACACTTCCTTGGAGTACATGATCGCATATCCAAGGCACAGCGTAAAGTGATAGCAGATTTCTCCATGTCGGCTCAAGTTCGGGTGTTTCTGTCACGCGAGAACCGAGGAGCTCATGGTATGGATGTACATTCAACCTCCATTCACGCACCACTCTACTCTCAGTCCAAAGAGACTTGCCTCGCATCCAGGGATATATCGGCATGCCGGTCAGCACTTGATACTTCTTGTCATGGCTTTCGATGCTGAGTTTGACTGAGACACCGTTACTATGAAGAAGGCCCAGGGTCCTCAAAAGCTGTGCCTCGGGATCATTGTTGCCTCGTATGATGGTTGGGACATAAACTTGTTTCTGGCCTGAAGACTGGGCTCTCCATATTTGTTTCAATGGGGCTGACAACACAGAGTGAGGGCCGAGTTCTACAAAAACGTGCGATTTTATGTCACACTTTAGAATCACTACAACAGCCCCTTGGAATTTCACGGGTGATTCAAGGTTTCGACGCCAATATGAAGCCCCGAGCTCGGTGGGACTCTCAACCATGGAGCAGGTGACACTTGATACGAAAGGCAGCATATGTCCCGTATGGTGCTCCATGTGCGGTGCTATCAGAGACTCATATACGCGGCCGCAGTGTGTCATTTGATCTGGATATGCATTAATACCAGTTGACATGGTTTAGAAGGATAACACTCACGAGAATGATATGCCACATCAACTTTTAGCAACTTGCAGATTGCCTCAGGTCTTTGCTGCTGAATATCATGGATAGTTTCTTCTAGTGGTTCTTTGTAGCCAGAGAGTGTGACACTCTTCGGGCTGTTGATACAAGCGATGACGACGTCTCCTCTTAGATAAGGGCCAACTTCTTCAGAGCCCAGACTAACGGCATACATCGATCCTTGTCCCTGCTCCGACTTCGTGGCTATTCCACGGTAATATGCCAATAGAATGGCACATCTCATGGTGATCGCACCTGCCGCATACGCTGCACCCACTTCACCGCTGGAATGCCCTACCAAGTAGTCGAACTTCAAGCCAAGAGCCAACATCACATGGAACAAGGCAATCTGGAAGGCAGTGCACAGTGGTTGTGTGATATGTGCTTCATGAATGCGGGAGTCAACATCCTTCGAGATCTCATCGGCCAGAGACCAATCAGGACTATCAGGTAGACTTTGCAGAATGCCATCCATTTCACTAATGGCAGTTCGAAACTCGACAAACTTGTGCATTAAAGCTTTGCCCATCCCGGGCCACTGGGGCCCTTGACCGGAAAAAGCAAGAGTTACTAGGTGATCCTCCTCCATTTCATGGCTTTCGAAACTAGACTCGTCAATTTGGCTATTCTGCCGTACCACAGCAAAAGCCCGGTTTGCCATATGTGTACGTCGTGCACGAAGAGTGTAAGCAAGGTCTGAAAATGCCGCACTAGGCCTGTTCGCAAACTCGGTGACAGCTGATATGCGTGTTTTCAGACTATCCTTGGTGCTTGCAGATACTAACAAGAGCTCCGGTGTATCATCAGATTGCATAGCATGATCCAAATTCGCCTTAGGAAGTAAGCGGTAGGATTCAAGGATTGCATGGACATTGGATCCCCCAATGCCGAAGCAGTTGACACTAATCCTTTCTTTCCTGTCCTGAGGCCAAGTCATAGGCTGAGAAGGCAGGTATATCTTCCTCTCTTCAAATGGAATCTCAGTGTTTGGGGTTTGATATATAGTCGGAGGAATGATTCTTTGCTCTAGGCAAAGAGCACTTTTGATTATGCTAGTGATCCCAGATGCGCCCTCTGAATGGCCAACATTGGGTTTGACCTATCATCCGTCAGATTGAACGCCCAGTTCCCTAGTCTCTGTTGGTGACACTTACTGAACCTATTGTAATGCCCCTTCCTCCAAACAATTTAGCAATGACCGAGACCTCGGCGGCATCACCGACTTGTGTCCCCGTACCATGGCACTCAAAGTACCCAGTCTCTGAAAGATCGCTTATACCGGCTGCTCTATATGTTGCTTCAATTAGGCTTTCTTGGGAATGCACACCAGGTGTGGTAAAATTGGGGGTTTTGCCATCGCTATTGGTCGCTGTGGCTCGAATTACAGCTCGAATAGGGTCATTATTCTCGACAGCGCTGCTCAATGCTTTGATATAAATGGCGCTGACGGCTTCTCCCCTTCCGTACCCATCAGCCGCATTATCAAAGGTACGGCAAATTCCGCTCGGGGAAATGATCATATTATCCGACATCGAAGTCATCATAGTTGGTGACAGAATCAGATTCGTCCCAGCGACAATAGCGGACGAGCACTGTTCAGAATTCAGTGCATTACATGCTTCGTGCAGGGCCATCATCGATGCTGAACATCCTGTTTCTAGTGTCATACTAACATTCAATCGCAGTCAGTACCATGGCCACAAAAGGCAATAATGAATCCATGCCCGGGTAAACGGGCGAGATGGTGAAGGGGACTTGACATATCCTAGTTTCTTTTTCAGGGCAGACATCAATCGAGTACATACCTTGGTCCACGAAAATCATACTCGTAGGATATGCGATTGGATAGGGTAAAGTTTCCTGTTCCTAGGACATAGTATCGATCTGTTGCCAGATGATCTTTATCCGTCAAGCCCAACCAGTCTCCACCAAAGACCCCAATATAGCAGCCAACATCTCTGCCTCGCCAATGTGTCTCTCCTGCGCTCTCCAAGCACTCCCAAACCACCTCCAGCAGTTTGCGCTGCTGCGGATCCATCCTCCCAGCCTCATACTGTGAGATGGAGAAAAAGGGAGCGTCGAACTCGGCAGGATCGTCATGAAGAAAGTATCCATGCTTGGCTCTGACTGAATGAGGTCGTGTCTCACTGTAGAATGCATCAACAGAGAAACGATTACCGGGAATCTCGCAATGGCCAGTCTTTTTGTTGACGAGCATATCCCAGAACTCATCAGCGGTTGTCACTCCCCCTGGAAGCCGCATGGCCATTCCCACGATAGCTATCGGATCCACTGCTTTGCTTCTGTCATACTTGTTGTTTACCTCTGAGTTGGGCAGTCTCTCAAAATCATTTTGCGAGTCCATAATCGGACTCCGTGCTTCTAGTCCCGTCTCCTGGTTGTGACGTTCCCTTCTCGTCGCTATTCGTCTCAATCGACGTGCTCGATGACCAGTGGCCAACGGTGGCTATGATACTTGCAAGTGTTTTCTGTCGCTGACTGGTATCTTGCAACGGTGTAGATGGCAGAACAAACGGTCGGAGGGCGATGTCGTTCCTGCGTCTGGAGCCCAGAGCTAGATCCATTATCACTTTTACATGTGCTTCGGTAACTCATTCAGACATGCCTCTGTTGATCTGTTCCCGTAGTTGCAACTGCACTGTACCTGACTTGTCTCACTCGGTATCACCTCTCAGTCCCATCGTAGTGCCCGAATCGGCTGCTGCCGCCTCCTTCCGCCATCGTAACAAGTCATCAGAGCTTAGAATCCAGGGCGAGGGCAAGCAAGTCTCTTAGAGAAGTCACATGTCAAGTGGCAGGTTACTGAGCAAGCAGAAATACTGCGTTAGCCGTCGCAATCCACCGGTTATGTATCCGTCTGTGTAAAAGACAGCACATACCTCGGGTCTCAGTGTGCGTTGCATGCTTCCCTCGAAGTAGTACAGTTTACTGGCGATGTAAAGAAACGATACATCAAACGGCTATCGATAAGACCGATGTAACCAAGAAGCTGAACTCTGGATGTTCGCGTTGCGGTTGATGCAATGCGGCGCGCCGGTTGCTGTTGCACGCGTGCGAGATAGCGGCAAGCACTACAACCACCTCGAAAGCCACTAAACCCAAAGTGGCCTAACCACCACCGCTTATCGGAGAGCTGCAGCAAGCGGGGATAAATCATCCGCCAGCAAGGTACTCTTCTCTTCCTCACCAACCTCTCTACGCAATCCTCGACCGAATTCCCTCGGAACCTTTTACCACCTTTCCATCTCATCAGCTTTCACTTCTCCGAAAATGTCACCCACTACTCCCCCTACCCCCTCTCAAAGCCGCCTCTCCACGCGGATCTCCCTGCGCTGGCCCCCGGCCCCCGCCTTCGAAAACACCGACACAATCGTCATGTCCGTAGCGGGGTGGTACGTCGACCTCCGCATCGACCAAGCCACCACAACCATTGACTGGGCCATTGCTGGTCAACGCGTCGTGGATTCAAATGATTCCAGTATGCAGCACATTTTATTTGTCATACAGCTTAATGCAAGAGACTGACTCCCTTATCAGCCCGCGTTCAATTCACACACGAGCTCGACTCCCGCAACTCCTTCGATGACGTTGACTGTGGGACATTCTCCACGCTCCCGAACGGGGACGACCTGGAGAAAGGGTCAATGCCTCGGGCGGATCTACCCGGCAAACCTGTCTGCGAGTATGAGGAGGTGTGGCGGGAGTTGGAGTTCCGGCGGGGGCCTGAGGGCCCGTCGAGGGGGGTTTCGTGGGTCTTAGAGTCGTCGCAGATTGATTCTGATCTTGAGGAGGGCGAGGAGGGCGAAGTGACTCGGACGTTCATTGGTCGAGTCTGGGGGACGTATCTCGCTCTCCGGCAGGTTCAGAAACATGTTCGCTCGCCTGGTTCGGATGCTACTTCTGTCAAGGATGGAGGGGAGGTGAGTGCCCTCCGTGAGGAGTGGGATGCCACTGCAGGATGGTGCACCAAGTACAATGTCGGTGCAGAAGTGGAAAAGATGCCATCGATGAAGGACGTTCCTGATGCACAGGGATGGACAACCGGACAGACTGTCACGATTGCCGGAGTGCAGTTTACGGTACGCGCTTTTGAGGAAATCAGTGCATGAATGGTATGTCTATTCACATCGAGTCATTAAGTCTATGGCTGGTCTATGTACACAACAACGGAAGTCGTCAATCTACTGCTCGTTGCAGAGAACGTAACGGAATCTGGCCTTGCCAGCATCCATGTCGACGATGGCAGTGTTGGCATCCTTCATGGGACGCTCCTCGACCCAAGTGCGGACGTTCTTCTCTGCGGCCAACTGGAGCATCTCGCCGATCTCGCTGGGAGAGCCGATGAGGGAGCCGCTGAACTTGACGCGCTTGAAGATCAGAGCAGGGGCGGGGATGGAGAGGGAACCGTCCTCGGGGACACCGAGCTGAACGAAAGCACCGTCACGGTCGAGCAGCTGCACGTAGTCGGTGATGGGCATCTGTGAAGACAGCGAGTCAGCGAGCTATTCGACAGTGGTGTTCGAGATGGATTCGAAGAGACATACCTTGGAGGAAGAAACGGTGGAGATGATCAAGTCGAGAGAGCGGGAGTTCTTCTGGGCCCACTCGGAGTCCTCGTCGGTAGCGATGTAAGCATCGGCTCCGAGCTTCAGAGCATCCTCTCTCTTGTTGCCCTTGCGGGAGATAGCGACGACCTTGTCAGCACCGAGGGCCTTGGCGAACATGATACCGAAGTGGCCGAGACCACCGACACCGATGATACCGACGCGCTTGCCGGGACCGCAGCCGAAGTGCTTCAGGGGGGAGTAAGTGGTGATACCACCGCAAAGCATGGGAGCAGCGACGGCGGAGGGGATGGCGTCGGGGATCTTGACAGCGAACCGGGAAGGAACGCGGTTGTAGGTGGCATATCCACCATACGACTTGCCGCCGTTGGCGTACACGCCGTTGTACGTGCCGACCATGGACTTGGGGCAGTACTGCTCGAGACCAGAGGCACAAGCCTCACAGTCGCCGTTGCGGCCCATGCAGGACTCGCTCTGAGCACCAACACCGACACGGTCTCCGACCTTGATGCCACCCTCGACCTTGGAGCCGACGCGGACGGCAACACCGACGATCTCGTGACCGACACAGCAAGGGTAGTTGGTGGGACCCTAAACAAGTTAGCAGACGAAAACAGCATTCGATCTAGTCTGAGAACATACCCAGCCGCTTCTCAAGGTGTGCATGTCAGAACCGCAGATACCGCAGTGGGTGATCTTGATGTCAATATCGGTCTCCTCCCAGGGCTTGGGCTCGAACTCCTGCCAGACCATGTTGCCCTCGGCGGCCTTGGGCTCGAGAGCCATCCAGCCCTCAAACTTGTAATCGGTGGAAGCCATTGCGAATGATGTGATGAGATGTGTGAGATGACGATTGTCTGATTGTCTGGACTGTTGATTCCCCGCGGGTCCTCACTGGCATTTATATCTGCATCCTCCCACCCAGGTCGGGGTAACCCAGGGAACTGCTTAGAAATTCAGCAGAAAAGTGGTGCTGATTCTCTCTGCGTCGTTTTGCCATGTGGTGGGGCCAAATTGTCTCCGAAGATCTGCTGAGAACGACCGTCAACCGGCTTGCAGGCTTCCAGGCAATGTGGATAAGGCGGGAGCCACATCGTGGCACCAGGGGCATGGCTGGACCGAGGCACACCCATGATTCAGGTCATCCAGTGCTAAGTCCGTTGGAGACGGGCATCCGCTGCTTACAGACGGTCAGCAGCAAGTGCCCTTTGGTTTTGCCTCATCGTCACCCATCCAAAAAGTCGAACTGAGCAAATTCCGTTGGGCCCGGCAATATTCGGTACAAACCCGTCATTGGACATTGAGCGTCCCCTTCCCGCAGTATTCTGGAGCAGTACCACAGGAAATGCTGTCATCAACCAAGGAAACGCAGCCCTGCCTCCAGTTTCTGGACGCTAGTCCAGTAATCTGGACGGTAGTCTGAAACGGCAACTTGCTGACGCCCCACTCCACGGAGTTAAGGAATAATAAGCTGCTGACGGTCGCGCAGCCACCCGACCGAGAACTCGTGGTTGGCCCCATCAGGGCACCACACCACAATGCACTGCACATCTAATTCTGCTAAGCTTCTAGAAAGCTCTGCGTCTCCTCTGGCCGTGGAACGATCTGAAATTTCTTCGACGGGAGGCCCTGACGTCATGTCAGCCGTGTGCGTGTGCCCCTGATGGTCGGGATTTGTGCACGCTGCACACTGCACCAACTTTTCTTGGGATTGCCACCGCTTCGGCACTGATGGGCTGCCGATCGTCCTCCGATGGTTTTCCGGGTGCGGTCGTTCTCGATGCTGTGCACATGGATTCATACATGGCACAGTGCCTTTAATTGCATACATTTCTCTAGGTATACTGAGACTAGCTAGGTTAAATTGTTCAAAAACATGGTTCCCCGCCCTCATTCTCGACAATTGAAGTATCGCTATGTACAAATCGTGGCAACTCCAATGCTGCCAATACACACTCTGCAGAGTATTCTTCCAGTCCATAACCACCGATAACTTATCTTCAGGCATAGATCTAAATAGCACAATTGACAAGTCCCACACATCATTACCATTATCATCGTCCATCTATAGCACCAAGTACATCCAAACCCAGCGTCCTCAACATGCCAACAACCAGTCCAGAATCCAAAACCACCAATCCACTCCACAAACACAAAACCCGACTCTCCTCTCATCCCCCTCCCTTATCACAACAACACCCCACATCACCTAGATAAGCCACTGGCACTACACCCCCCTCACCCCCCTCACCAAAAAATAAAGCACCTGGGGCGCCTGCCCCCCGAACTGCGAATAATCCGTGGTGACCGTCTCGACAACCTTAAACCCATGCTTCAGGTAGACCTTTAGCCCGGCGGGCTCGGACATGACATACGTGCGGAGGCCGTGGCGGTCGGCGACCTGCAGCCCGCTGGCGACGAGCATGCTTCCGACGCCGCGGCGCCAGAAGTCCGGGTGGGTGCAGAGGTAATCCAGGGCTAGGAAGGTCGGGTTGCATTAGCTGATGAATGTAATGCGGAGCATACACCATAAGATCACGGCGCACGTGGCATGTTCCTGGTGATTGACAGAGCATCTACCCCTTTCCCGCAGAAGCCAAGCTATACCGCAGACTGGAGGGGGCATAACCCCAGAAAAGCTCTGAAGCATAATTTGCCAAAGTATAGCGACGGAAAATAGAAAGGAAAGAAAAGAACTTACTCAGAAACTCCTCCCCACGCGTAATCGCCTCGTCAGCCTCCTCCAACGGCCGACTCCGGAATTCCATCATCCCGTCCTTCTTCATTCCCGGCACTTGGCCCCCGTCGCTGGCTGCATCGAAGTTCTTCTTGAACACTTGAAGCTCTTCATCGCTCACGGCTTGGACCTGCGCCTCGGGCCAGAACGTCCCTGTCTTGTGCTCCACGCTTAGTACTGAATCCGGGACAATCCACCGCGCGTACCCGACCACCGTCTTCTCTCCGGAATCATCGGTATAGGAGACCATCTGGTGGCGTTTGCGGTCGCGACCAGTGGCTAAGGAGAAGGGGAAGCGGGCGGTGACGTCGGCGATGATGCGGGCTGGGTTAGGGTCGGTCCAGAGGAAGACCCAGTGGGGGTCTGTCAGGCGGGCGAGCATGATGGCGCGGGCGATCTGTGGGGAGTCTGCGGGGGTGCAGGGGGCGATTGTGAGCGACATTTTTCGATATTCGGATTTGACTTGTACCAGTCGTAGGTAAATCAGTCGTGCGATTCGTTATGAGTGTTTTCTGGTATAGCGAGGCTGTATGTGGGAAAGGACGGAGCAGATCCTGTATGAAGCCAGAAGGATGCATTTTATGGATTGCGGTGAGTTGAGGAAAGGTGTCCAGTTCTTATCTCCGGTTAGTATCTGATTAGAAATGAAGATAGAAATGTGTAACTGGTCAGCGATGGTTAGTGCTTACCGGGCGATGGCCGTCCGTGGGAACTGCGGTGCTTATTGAGGTGACTTATAGGATGCTTAGTAGTCATCAACGGAAGGATGAAGGTGGCAGTGCGGCTGGTACGACTTCTTCCGCTCAACGATCCTCCATCCGATGGCACTACTGCTGTGCAGTCAATCCGCGCAGAATTAAGTAATAAATCTACCCAAACAAACCTCATCCTCTTGACCCGATTGAAATATGACATACTTCTCACGAGAAGAGCCCCGAATAGCCAACACTCCTGCTATGTGAGGATCGATATAACCGAATCTAAACATTGACAGTCATTCTCCGCGCTGACGATACTTGGTTTCTGAGACACGCTGCAATTTCTCCAACCACTCACTCAGACGCTGCTTTCACAGTGATCAGCTGACATCTCCGATGCATATACAGCTCCGTACTCAGAATCTCGTATTCAAGTCTGATCATTCTGAGTGAGCCCCAGCTTGGAGAAAATCCAGAAAGACACGAATTGGGCGGTTAAGCGATCAAGGCGCGAATCAGATTCCTCTTACATAGTCGCATGAACAAGATCCAAGGCGAAAAGCCTAACAGTCCTGGGTCGTGGCCGATGTGTCATCTCAAATTCAACCACCTAATGCCTCAAGTAATGGACTGCCCCTGTAAAGAGCTAGCATTGGCACAAATAGGGACTTTTTGTCATTGCTTCGTGAGCTGGAGGACTGTTGCATGTCTGCGCCGACCTTCTGATCTCGTTCGAGACGTGAGCTTATAGATACTGCTTCGAGAATTGGTCTAGACTCCACTTGCGATCGGTTGCTTACGTTAGCTTGTCTATCCCTAGAATTGATATCACCACAACTTACCACGGAGGGTAAGCGATAATCTTGAGACATCGTCTGTCTGTTCATCGAGTCCTATCCACGCTGCAGAGGATCGTTGCCGTCTGACTAGGTGCGCGTCTCGAGAGACAATCAACACCGATGTGTCTCGGAAACCTGCAAGTTGTCCGCCCATTGCCATTCCGAAGTGCATTCAAGCAAAGCTTGGTGTAGAGAGCCCGCAGTCGGACAGGTTGCGCATTGGGTGTGACGATAACGTGATAATCCCATCGAGCTGCAACCATGCGACCGCAGGATTTGCCATCTGGTCAGACGCTGAGCACGGCCTATCTCAGAGACAGAAGACATTAGTGGTAATAGAACGATCAGAACTCACCAAGACACTTTCCGACAAGCATTGCCAACTCGCCAAGTCCCCAGGCATTGGAAAGCAAGGCGCATTGTCCCCAAACAAGGAGGCCGACCTCGACCATTGCAAGGTCAAAAACTCGACATCGCACGGTCGCGTTCACCTTTCCGAGTGCCCGTGCCTTTGTGAGATAGTGATCGCATCACAGCAACCTTGTCGTCATCATCCGACTTCAGATGGATGGATCCCTGGGACGATCCGTGGTGACGCAGTGCGGGATTGGTTATCTTATCGTGAATGCGGGCACAATGACACGGGGTGGGATAACCGATAAGATAAGCACTGCATACCGCCAGACGTCAGCTAAACATCAATTCGATTGAAAATCGAGAATTCAAGACGCGTTTGGGGGAGAGGGACCTGAAGATAGGTAGGGTGAGTCGGTCGGTCGGTCGCGGGAGACACGGGCGCAGGGATTAGGCCGAGAAAGTCCCTTGCACGTACATACACGTGACCGCGACTAGGAAGGGACGAAAGGCCTGGTCCGCTGAACAGCATAGGTACTAGCCGTCCTTTTCTTATGCAATTGATTTTAAGATAGGGAAAAGTAGTTTAGATGATGCTGATTACTTTATGTTGCCTTCTTAGAATAATTGGTAAAATATTGTGGCTTTCATTGTGTGCAGCATGGCTAGTTGTTTTGTGGCTGGAAATGGAAACTCGACGGACGAGGTGGGTGGTAGTTTGACACTGGGGATAACTTCAACTTGGTACTAGCTAGCTGGAAATGAGAATAGCTTCAGAAGATCTCGAAGGGGAAGTGGTGGGGTGGGACTAGCGGGATGGGAGGGGTTGATGTGATGGTAGGGGAATGGGCAGTTGCGCGCCGCGGGCTCGACACCAAACTACGGAAGGGCAATGGGACGAGAGAACGAGAAGGGCCGGAATAGCTTCAGTCAAGAGGCTACTACCTAGCTCATCCACGTCCCAGCATCCGGTATACCATCTTCTGTAGGAGAATTGGGTCCGGGATAGCTTCAGGCTGGCCCAAACAGTCGATCAGCCCCCCCGGGCATCGAACCGCTCGCAATCATGAACTGATCGCAGTGCAACGCCTCAGTCACCCTCTGCAGAGTGCTGATGCGCAGTCTGGATAGCTTCATGCATGGCCGAAGTAGCAAAATTATGTAGCAGATGTAAAAAAAGGGCCAGACCAGTATAGTTAACGATCCCATTATGAACCATGCCGCCTCCGTACGTTTGCGACAGCGGTGCTGGCTAACACCCTGTCTACCACCCGAGTTGAATCGGGGGCCGTACCACTAGGAAGGCTCGTGCACCGACTTCAAATTCGAACAGATAGTGGTCTGAGCGAGATTCGAACGAGCGTGGTCTCCGAAGATCCCGGCTCTAGCGACGTGACACCGTGAGAACATGAGCCTCTGGCCGTTCGGCCATCTGCGGTGACTGGTTTCGAAAGGAGATAGTTACGGGGGGGCATAAGGGAGCAGGCGAAACGGATTTCAGGCACCCAAAGTGGATGCCTGAGGACGGCAGCCTGGGCGCAGGCGGCTTGCAGTGGCTGCCCACTGCCGGCGAGAGAGCCTGGCTATGGCCCCTGTGGCCCCTGGTGTGCACAAGACGACCCGGGGTCAGTCAAGGGTGCGCACAGCCATCCAGCATCCATTGAGCCGTGTCTCCAGTATGCCGAGGTGAGATATATGCCCTGGTAAGCCCAGTGTATAATCACGAAGTGTGTCCATCGAGGAATAGGGTTGACGCTGCAAAGGATGTTAGCATCAATGCCGAATGTATGCATTGAAGAACTCGGAGTACAATACCCTATGCAACTTACCCGTCAGCGACAGCAATGCAGACTCGAGCAACCCCAGCACTCGAGATCCAAGAGAATGGTCACAATCATATCATGGCTTCTCGCACATGCCTTGATCAATCAGATTAGCTGCCAACATGTTTCTTCGTGCTCAATGGCTCTATTGACGGTGTGCTACTTGGTTACTCCCAGGGTGGTATAAATCTGGCTAACGCAACATTATCACATAGCACAAATGAATCCATCCCTAGAGCATCCAAGTGACAAGTAGAGAATCAGACAGACAGGACCTATCAAGCACTACTAGCAGTGGCGGTTGGCAATACCTCGAACGAGAGGCCTATTGAGATCAGTCCGCTATTCTTGCAGGGTTTTCAAATGCTGCCGTGGCCTCTTAGCGAGCGGCAGAAACAAGCGACCGCCTGCCCCACGGACCACGACAAACACAATAAACATATGCCCGCCTCGGCTGGCCAGCAGCAACACCAAATCAGCCTACTCACATCGTGCATTATTTAGGCCAGATTGTAGACTGGTTTGGAGCACAAAATTTCCTTGGTCAGATGCTTGAGATGCCTTGTAAATTTATCTGCATGTCTGAAAACTGCGACACTTGGCTCATCTGACCTGACTGGTCGGGGCATTTATCTCTCCTTCTCCTTACGGTTAAACTATATACTTGCTCTGATGCCTCTGTGTGACTTCAATTAGGTACCCAAACCTGCTTCGAAAAATCTCCATAATAATCCGGCGAGATTCTCGTCCGAGGTGCATGTGCCAAGGATGTCGAAACATAAGCGTCACCAGTCACAAGACTATAAAGCTTCTGCACAACAGACAGCATTTCAGCTGCATGTCAACGCAGGAATCTTGTTTCGGCTGCAATGTCGCGTCAGGAGTGCCACATTAGGAAATATCGGACAATTATTAGCCGAGTGACAGGGAAGCAAGGGCTGTCTTCCCTCGTGAATGAAGTATGACGTTTCGAGCATTGGTATGGTATAAAACCATGGAAGGTGCAATCCGTGCATTTCTCATGACTATCCGACTCTCCTACTATTTCCTCTGAGCCGAATCTTTCGACATCCTGCGCCTCGTCGATATCTTCATGATGCTCCAAAACAGCGAACTAGCCCCTCCAACATTTACCCCATTCCCGCTGACTCCGCTAGATCATCTGTTGCCCCGGCTTCATATGACATGTTTCCCTCATCTAGCGACGAAATCGCCGGCTGAGGACGCATCAATCCTGAAAGATGGGCTAGATTTCTTGATCACACAGAATCCCATCCTTGCGGGTGATGTGTGTCCATCCTCGCGACCGGAAGGGAAGGCCAACAGGTTTGAGTTGCGACCACCAACAGAATTCAGTCTTAAGGAATATCCTCTTATCCAAACACGTGTGCACGCTCAAGAGTATTTCTACCGCCAGAAGACGGTTCACTCGCAACGTGTTACAGGCAGTGACCTAGGCCAAGCCAAATACCGGCCCGTCCCGCTGGATGCAGTCAATCAGGAACGCGCCCCCGGGCTTCGCTGGCAACTCAATGTTTTCGAGGACGGGATAGTGATCGGCATCTGCTTTCACCACTTGTTCGTCGATGCGATGGGCGTGTACATAATTCTTCAGGCTCTTTCTGCATGTTGCCGAGGTTTGAAGCACCCTCGGCAGATCGCACTCCAGCCTGTTGACACCGAGTGTCGCAACAGGATCATTGCAATGGGTGAACAAACGAAAGCCACGCCAGGAATCAAACGGGTTGACATCTTCCCCAGCGTGAACACAGCTCTAGACGTGGCCGTGGGCAGGATCCCGTGCCAGCTCGTGACGGTTCCTTTCGAGGTGATGGGTCGTCTCAGAGAGGCCTGTCAAACCATCACGACAGACCTTTTGAGTTCACTGGCTACAGATGGCGACCCAAGTGTTTCGCAAGTACCTCCAATATTCTCCGATAGTGACGTAGCTGCAGCCTTGATGTGGCTCTGCTGGGCGCGGTCTCGATACCACCGACTTGAGCCCGCTTCTCGACCGGACGAAACCTCCATAATACTGATGATTGAGCTTCGCCAGAGAGGCGTACTCCCGCTGAACTACATCGGGGATGCCGTGGCCCCTGTCGCCGCATCCGCACCCCTTTCTCCCGCCGTTAACTCTCCTGCCAAGGCCACCGCCACTGATTCCCAGCACACTTCCTCTGAGATGTACCGCCAGGTTCCAGGCCTCAGCACGTATGACCTCGCCTTGCTCGCGGACCTCACCTTTCGTGCTTTTAAGGCGAGCGTCGGAGTCGATGAAGAATACATACGAGGGCTAGTTCGGGAGAAGCATAACAGCAGCGACTGGCGGTCCTACTATCCAAGCGAGGGACAATTCCTCTACAGCAACATGCGCTTACTGAATACAGCCGGACTCAATTTCGGGAAAAAGCTAGGGAATATCGTGCGCTTAGAGACCCTTGACAATCGGACAAATGGGCAGTGCTGGGTGTTGCCGGCGCCTACCAGAATGGCTCCCTGGGAGTTCCGCGTGTCGATGGAAAGGGAGGACATGGAGCGGTTCCTCGAGGATCCGTTGTTGGTCTGGGCAATGGGGAGGAATGCGGCGAGATTGTGAAGGGTTCGTTGGTATGATGTCATGGCGAGAGTGAGGGTTGCATGCTATATCTGGATATACTTCTAGACTGTTCGTGGGTATCTGAGAAGTCAAGAGACGAGGTAAATACTATGCAGTGGAGATAGATTAACTTAGTAGTTCGAATGCAGTATGGCAGCCTAAATCTTCAGGTGTCTGTCTTATTGTGCCATCAACAATCCCATCACGTCCCGCGTTACAGATCACAGCAGGCACGTGACCCCGCGTTCGATGAAAACAAGACAAAATACCAACAACAAACTGACCCGACCTCGATCCCTGATCTTTCTTAACTCTACCTCAACAGTGTACTCATACGCTGCAGCCGACTCAAAAAAGCACCCCCTGACCCGTGACATCCTACAATGACCCGCGGCAAAGAAATCACCCCACAGCTCCGCTCCCGTATCTGCGAGCTCCACTCCATCGGCTGGGGCGCACGGAAGATCTCCCGAGTGCACCCCGAGCTGTCGCTGAGCGGCATCAAATACACCATCCGCAAGGAAAAGGACCGCGTGAACTGCGTCACCCGACCACGGCCTGGTCGACCCAAGAAGCTCTCCGAGGACCAGCGGACGCTGATCCGGGCGATGGTCGAGGCCAATCCCGCCGTCAAGAGTGCGGAGCTGCTGGAGGCGGTGGGAAATGCGATCACCAAGCGGTCGCTGCAGCGGTTGCTGCAAGAGAAGGGTATGGGTCAGCGGTGTTGATGGGCTTGGAGAGCATTGCTGGATTAAGGTTCCTTCTGACGAGAGAAGATGGTACCATTGGGCTGCAGGTGAGTCGCTGATGGAATGGTCGAACAGGAATAGCCGAATGTACCTTATTGCAGGGCTCTTTCCCTTTCTTCTCCTCCGAACCCGTCATAGCCTTGTTAACTCAAAACAGAAAGATGGAGTACTCACGTACTCCTTGTCGTCATTCTTTATTGCCGGACACAAGGCACAAAGAAACAAGGCTGAGGAATCGAAGTATCGAAGCGTCTTATCTCTCTCGATAGGCACCACCCAACAGCCCTATTGTCTTCTCCCCCCGTCAAAAGTGGAAACCCCCGGTTTCTGGCCACCCACCTTCTTCATTACTGACTCTTGCCCGACTCCGAGATATGCGTCGATGAGAATTGCCGGGTTATCGTGGCATCTTCGCGGCTCTGCTTGCTTTCGAGGAAACAACAATACTCTGCGTTTGAAGGGCCTTTGTCCCCAAGGCGTTTTTCATTCTCAAAATCTGTCTATATAAAGATCGGACCTTCTGCTGGGCTTTGTCACCTACTCATTATCGTCCATATACTCTGCAAGCCTTCTCATGGTCACAAGAACCACCAGTCTCTAGGACGCACACTCACCAGAATGTCATCGTATGCAAGACCTCCGAGCCACAGCGCCATCCAAGCGATTTTCGAGCGGATTGACGCTGACTCGGCGGCGGGGCGTAGTCCCATCCTCTACGAGGATGAAATTCGGCGTCATATAGGCGCAAGGGTGCGGGGTGTGGGCGAGCGGTTGCTTCGAATGGAGGGGGCAGACGTGGAGTTCCGCAGCGGCTGCATTACTGCACGCAACATCGGCGACCGGCCAATCATTGAGGCCATCCTCATCCAATCGAGAGGCGTCCCACCGGTGCGGCCCTGCAATTGCTGTAGGAACAATCGTTCCCCGCGCACGTTCCCCACGTGCCTCCATGTGCCTGATCCCCTGACGTTCCAGGGCATCTGCGGCAACTGCAAGGCCTCGGGTCGGCCGTCGAGGAACTGCGACGCCATGAGCTCTTTCTTTGAGATGGAACAACACCAAGCACACATGGTTCAGACATTGCAAGGCCCGGCGGACGAGGGCAATGCTTCCCAGCTTCCGAACGGCCTTCCCAACGGTCTCCCAGACGGCGGTTCGCAATCGGACTATTAGCTTCTGGATCTGGCGTTCTTCAGCGTTCTTGCAGTGTCTTTAATCATTAAAGTATAATTAATCGACCACCTGAAACAACTTCCACCTTCGAATTGTATATAATTGATGCAACCCATGGCTGTTACAGTAAAAGCACCCTAGGGTTCATGTTCGGCCCCGACTGGCCTGTCGCAGCGTCGGCCGAAGTCTGCGAGCCGTTGGACCAAGTTCTAGCTGTCCTTATTAACCTTTGATTGTGGTCAATCGTCTGCGGATGAGAGCCACTCAGCCGCACTGGACTTACAATTGACAAGACGGTTCCGAAAAACGGTGGACTACAGGCGTTGCAGAGCAGTTCGAAACGTGCGGGTGACATACTCTCGGCCTCTCTCGGCCAAAAAAAAATCGACTTGCGAAAGAGAGGGAGAGGCGAGATCGGGATAAATCGCCCCACACTAATGCTGCGAGCTAGGCCGGCGGAGGAGGCTTATCTGCCATTCGAAGCGACGGTATTTGATTGGGTCGTGTGAAGATGTCAGGTTTCGATGGCCTCCGGTGTATGGTCCCATTGTTAGGTACAAGATCGATCAGCGTTGACCATGGACAGATACAGTGAAATGGTTTCTGGATTGAATCGGAAGGGGCGAGGTACACGAGGCTCAGCTGTCCCGTGGTGCGGAATCTCCGTTCCTTCTAGCCGTCTGTTTTCTGGAAGAGTGGAGAGAGCTTTCTCCCCCTCACCGCTTACCATGTATTAAGCTTATATGCACGATTGGTCTAGATTCTAGAAGCTCGACCAATTTACGGTATTCATAGTGCGACGAGTATTCAGGATAAATGTGGTACCGACCAGACCAGAACCTACGAGTATGAGGTAGGTGGCTAGATCTCCGCTACTTAACCTTTCAACCCTCCGTAAACACCTTTCAAGTGCAGAACAACAATCCCAATCGATAATATGAGTAGACTGCTCCCACTCGCCACCTTCGGACATGTACTATTAGAAATCTCGATCTGCAGAAAGATCTGTCGATTTTGGTCCTTGCAGAGACCCGCAGCACAGCCTCAATGTGGAAGGCGGTGGCTAAGGTGGACGGACAGGCGCAACGGTCTAGACCCCAAGCTTGACCCGGTTGGGTCAAGCCACACTCTGCGGATGCACATGTGACGCAATTGCCGCCGGACGCTGCATTGAAGGCGAAAACTTCGGGAAGTCGGGGGAAACGCATTTCATTATTATCCCAAGCCCCACACACGGTGACTTTCCTCAACATCCCATCAGCATTTCTTTTCTGGGTTCTACTTCTATTGTCAGATTGAGGATACTGAGCAACATGGACTGAACGGAACAGAGGTCTCACGAGACGGACAGCAGACAGGAAACACCGCATCTAACCTGCAGGTTGACAAGCCCCCGAGGTGTCGACGCGATGGAGGACGTAGCCTCTCCGGCTTCCCAGCAGGAGGAACACGAAGCAGATCGTCGCGCAAGGGAGTTGTTCCATTACTTTCAGCCGGACAACCCTGCTTTGCTCCCTGCTTCTCAGGGCACCGATCCACACGGCTCGACCTGTGCGTATGCTAGAGCCAGCCCAAATCTCGTCCTTACTGCCTTAGCCCAGTTAGCCGCGGTCAAAGTAGGCGTCCAGCGTGCGATCATCAGGTACGTTGTTGATGTTCTTCCCTCGCTTCAACATGATGGCGGTGCGCGTGATCGCGCTACGACTTGTACTTCACACAAGCCCGGCTTCATGGGGGTTTCCACCGCTAAATTGTTCCCAGCTTGATCGATCGCGAAACGCTATATGTGGTGGCCGAGGCATCACGCTCGCTAAACCTCGGGGATAATACACTCTATGAAGATGATGGCGATGGACTCTGGATGGGCTGCTCCCGAGGCCCTGTTGCTGGGACCCTATGCGAGGTAGCTACTTCTGCGAATCGAATTCGCCTGGCTTAAACATGTTGACTGATCGGTGCTAGAAAACAATTACCCTGTCGCCAACCACCGCGGATAAATACCCCTTCTTCGTCGTGGAAGATTTACAACAACATCCCAAGTTCTGCCAAATACCCTGCGTGTCCGGTTCTCCGTTTTTCCGCTACTATGCTGGCACACCCCTGATGACCAGCAGTGGTATCAACATTGGTAGCTTATATGTCATCGATCCGAGGCCCAATCTGTCCTTGACGGCTGCCCACAAGGAGAGCCTGGGCGTCATAGCCACCGGAGTTATGGAGTACTTGGAAACCTCGCGGCAGTCACTCGAAAGCGCTCGTTTGATGAAAGTCTTGTCGGGGCTCAACTCGTTTGTTCAAGACCAAGGCAAAGAAGAGTCTCCAACCCCAGCCATTCCACGAAGCGCCAGCCCTTCCGACCTTGACCGATCGCGTACTCCCAGCCCCCGGCCTGTTTCATCCCTCGAGATCGACCCGAAGCTTACCCCCCGAAGTACAAAGTCATCTACCAAGAACACAAGCCCGCCACAGAACAATAACTTCTCTTCTTCCGGATCTGTACCATCAGGCCCCACGAAACAGCAGGCTCCGTCTAATCGACCTGCCATCAAATCTCATGCATCGTCGTCTGGGAAAAGACACGAGGCATTCCAGCGTGCTGCAGACCTCATGCGTGAAAGCCTAACCCTAGGGGATGAAGGAGGGGTCGCAATTTTCGCTGTCAAGGACAGGTTCGACGGTGACGAAGACGAAGGATTGCCAGAAGATACAACCACCGGGTCACGGCCCGCCGCTACTACTTGGGCTATCTCGACCCGTAATGCCCACGACTCGTCGTGGGGAAATGAGTCAAACCCTACGTCTGCAAAGCAAATAAGTCGGCACTTTCTACGGCGGATGATGCAGCGTTTCGGCAAAGGAGCCCTGTGGTATTTCCATCGCGATGGAACGGCCTTTTCGTCTGACGAGGAAAATTCCTCGCAGACCAGCAATCAGCCTGCCTTGCAGTTACCGTCATTACTCCATCCGCGGGATCGGGACACTCTGAACGGAAGGGACTTAGATCTCCTGCAGACCTACTTCCCGAACGCCACGCGCATTATCTTTGCTCCCCTGTGGGATGCATCGAACTCGCGTTGGTTTGGCGGTTGCTTCTGCTGGAGCTCCGTGGAGACTCGAATTTTCAGCCCCCATGTAGAACTGGGTGGCGTGCTCGGGTTCTGTTCCTCATTGATGACGGAGGACAGTCGTATCCGGAGTCAAGAAGCCGACAAGAAGAAGGGAGACTTTATCAGCAGTATTTCGTGAGTGTTTTTGCTTGCTTTCACAGTGTGACTGTTGGACTGACCAAAAGGGAAACAGGCATGAGCTTCGGAGTCCTCTGCATGGGATTCTAGCCGCAGTGGAGTTCCTTGCGGAACAAACGCTGTCCAGCTCAGCTCGGCTGCTTCTGGACACTATTCGAGCGTGCAGTCAAACTCTGCTGGATACGTTCGAGCAGATTCTTGATTTCAGCAAAATCAATTCATTCAAGCGGAAGGCGCGGGTGGCCGGTTCATCACTGTTGCAAGATGGTAGAGACTCTGTCGCTGCGCAATCCGGCCCACGCTCACTGTATATCCTGAAAGTTGTGGACATTGTGACAATCGTTGAGGACGCGATTGAAAGTATCTGTGCGGGCGCCAATCATCTCAATATCACTCGTCCTGGTGACTCTTCAACCTCGAAGCCATCTTCCCCCTTAGGAGAAAGCCACAGTGCCAACTCTGAGCACGTCGATATCACTTTGGATGTCGGAATGGATGACTGGGTTTTTGTTTTGGAGCCAGGGGCCTTGCGACGTATTGTCATGAATGTTTTCGGAAACGCACTGAAGTACACTGCCACGGGATCCATCTCTGTACACATGGAGATACAGAAGGATAGTAAAAGCGCGCCTCGCGATGGGGCTGATACTTTGCTTCTGACTGTATCCGATACCGGTCGCGGCATCTCCACCGACTACCTTCGATATCACCTGTTCACACCTTTCATGCAAGAAGATCCTCTGTCTCCTGGCACGGGCCTTGGTTTGTCTCTCGTCAGCAGCATCGTCCGGTCTTTGAAAGGCAATATCAAGGTCAAGAGTCAGCTTGGAGCGGGAACGGTGGTCAAGGTCTCGATTCCCCTTACGCGCCCTGAGAAAGAGTGTGTAGAGAGCGCGACATTGCTCGATGACCCGCTTCTCACCCCCTCAGAAGGTCTCATTGATGGCGTGAAGCAAGAACTGGCAGGGAAGACAGTGTGCTTCGTTCAGCCCGATGGCGCCGCTTCTGCTAGTACTATTGCCAGGTACTTAACGCAATGGTATGGTATATCACTCCAGCCGTGGTCACCTGTTGTTGCCGCGGACCTCGTTATTGTCGATGAGACGCAGTTGCACCGCATCAATGGGTTGAATGAATCATCCACGTTGCTCGTTCTGCACCGCGATAGGCGTGCTACGCATTCGAAACCTCCCGAATTGAGTCAGCTTCGCGCACGGGTCGAGTGGTTGAGCCTTCCATGTGGTCCCTACCGCTTGGCCAGAACGATCCAGAGTTGTTTGCAAGCAACACCTCAGCATCTGGGGGTGGAGGGCGTCTCACCACAGATTGCGTCTGAAAATGGCGTACAAAATGGGAATGAGGTATTTGCTGACCAGGGCCCTGATCGAAGCCTCCCTCTCCGTCCGGCAGCATCCATTATTGTCACTAAACCCTCTGAAATACCATTAAAGCCAAATGTCGAATCTCCATCCACCGCACTGCCAAAAATAGATACGCAAGCACACCAAAATGGAAGCTCTAACGGGCAAAACCCTACCCCTCCCGGCCCATCCGAGGACATACCCCGGGTGCTTCTAGTCGAAGACAATCCAGTTAACATGTCGCTTCTCAACCGCATTGTTAGCCGGCGACAGCCCCTTATTGTGCACGAGGCCATCAACGGTAAAGAGGCCGTCGACGCGGTCGGAGCAATGCCCGAAGGCTACCACTATATTTTCATGGGTTAGTTTCCTACCTTTGCGCTCCCAGTTCTATCCTGCAAGCAGCTCTAACCTTAGTAGACATTTCTATGCCCATCATGGATGGTTTCGAGGCCACTAGAGCGATCCGCATGATTGAGAAGGAGCGAAAGACTTCATCACCGGCCAAGATCATTGCGCTCACTGGTTTGGGGTCGAATGACGATGTGG